GGACTTAAGAAAAAAATAACAATTTATGCTTTTAAATGGAAGGTTTTAAATTATATTCAATAATGCTAATGTATTAAAAAATTGAATTCATGTTTTGCTTCATTCATTTCATATGACTTCACCTAATTCTAATAAATTTGTATTTGTATTTTTTTCTTATCTTTGAGAGTTTTTCGTGTTTTATTCAACTTTTTAAATTCAAATAACAACTCCTGTATTTAAAATGCCTATAAAATCACGTGTAATCTGCTGAAATTGTCTGCTGATCGAAAACTAGTTTCTAACTACTCTACACCTCTTTCCTCGACTAAAAGTAATTATCAGAATGAATCTTGACCAATTATTTATCAGTAAAAATGTAATGAAATATGTGTGTTACCATTAAATATTTCAAAATTTGATAAAACTCTATAAAATACTATAAAATGCATTACATAGTTATGTAAATTGTAATATTTTATAAAAAAATAACTAAAAGTTTTATTTGAAATTTAAATATTTTCCCGATAAAATGAGTGTTTAACGTTAAATTGATTACTCTGTATAATCTAACCTACTGCGTTTACGAGCAAAGGTAGCACCTGGCAGTGTGCCGAATAATTGTGTTGCACTTACAATTAGTTGATTTACAATAATTTATAGAGAACAGCTTATCGCGTTAACACTGTTGATAAACCAATCCGAACGATACAATACAAGCGATTAAACAATTTAGAAAAAAAACTGGCATTCTCCTTAATAGTTTTCTTTATTGTTTTCCTTAAAATTGTAATTATGTTTTCATAAAGATCCATTATTTTTTTTTATCTTTACTGTTTTTATCATTATAATTTACCAACATCAACCCATCCATTTGATTAATGGTTATTAACGCTAACAACAATGCGTTTTCAAATTGTGAATAAAACTACCTGAAATCTAATTATAACTTTTATAAGTTATGTTCATATTTGAATTAATATTTTACTTAAATATTCTATTATTTTTTGTTATTATATAATTTACTTTAATTGTTTTTTTCTACACGTTTATTGGATAAGTTGTTGTAAATTTGACATTTGGTTCCAATGCTAGGTTTTATTACAGTAGTATACAGTATAAGTATTATTATTACTATTATTATATCTCTATTAAGACGTACTATAAACAATAGAAAACAAATTTAAATGTTTGTATTGATAAAAACTACGCATATCATATTATTATTGTCTATAGAAACTTGAATGTATGTTAGGGAAGAAAATCAACTAATTTATTAGCCGGTGACTGGTGTATTATTATGAATTAATTTGTACTGTTTTCCTTTAGTCAATGGACGCTAAGTCTGTGTGCAAACGATTATTAAACAATTTACCGACGTTTTGCGTGATACCACTTATTATCATAATGTTAGTAATATCTGTTGGCATCTACCCCTCAACCGTCTGTATTGGTTTAGTACATAATCACTTTACAACCACCGACGGGGTAAATAACTTAAACCGTTTTCGCACGACAACAGTTTACGCTAAAGTTTACTAATTACTTTTAATGGTAAAACATTCAAAAACTGCTCAGAGATTATTAGATAATATAATATACGTTTAGTCTAAAGCCACATGGATCATAATAACACACAAAATATAAAATAAACTGGTGAACAATCAAAAGATGTTGAATTGTCTCATGAACACTCAACAAAATTATTTTACCATTGGTGTTCGTCTTCCAATGATTTTGCTATTAAGTTTTCAATATAATTTGTTGTGTAGTTTACGAACATTTTACCTCGTGAAAATAAAATCCAATGTCGCCATAAAAATAGTGTTTTATTTATTAAATATAGTATACCATTTGTAGTAAAATCTTCACAAAGTGGATTACCTAGTTTGTTAAATTTATGGAGCCAGAACCAAGAGTTACAGCCTTTAAGTGTCTTAAAATGATTGTCCCATGTGTTTTTACATTTTATGTGTGACGTTTACTCTTCGAAGAATTGTAAGACAAACTCGAATAGAACCAAGTTTTAAAACTTGTTTTTAAAGAAAATGTTATTTGCACCAAAAGAGATCTCAACACTTTAGTTGGCGTTTCACAATATGCCAGCACGTGCAATTCTCTATTATGATGGCCACCGCGATTTTGAGTCTTGATAACGACTGCGTGTGCCTATCTAACTTTTGCCGTTTGATGGAAAACGATAAACATTCCCAGCGAAAATAATAATAATTGTTGTCGTTTGTGTGTAATAATAAAATAATAATATAGGTTTTTTACAGGCCGACTGCAAGTCCCGTGTCGTGTCGGCTGTTCGGCTGTTTTGCGTTTAATACCGTATAATTCCATGTATGATATGGGGTGGAAAACCTGAGCTCACGTCATTTCAGATATCCTTTAGCGATAGCCACGCACGAAAATGTTTTCGGTGCCCCCGAGGTAAATTCATATTTTGTGCGGGTCAACATAACTCTTTGCACCCCCCCCCCCCCAACGAGCAGCCATACTAGTTTTCGTTTATTAACATAATGTATTGCTGCTGTGCGCATGGTAACGTTTAACGCTGGCGAATTCCATATTATTATAATATACAGTCGCAAGCTGTCAACCGGCCGATTGTCGTTTTATGATTATGACAGATCGTACGAAACGCATAAAACACACGTTTAATCACAAAACGTTCACATGCCATCATGTCTGTTTCTTGTTACATTATGTATATATATATATAAGCCCCCGAACACTATACTATTATGTAATGTGTACCAAAGTACAAGACGACTACCGTAGAGATTTAGCGACGTCCTTTTTTAATAAAAAGTTTCCTGGTAAGTTTCCCGCGACGCGACGGTTTCACATTACCGATTTTCACGACTACATGTGCGCCCTCAGATTTTCCTCGGGATTGTTGTCTGGAAAAGAGAATGACGCGTGAAAACCAGCTTCTTCTCTTTCAAATCCCAAACGGCTAAGAAGCATTTTAACGGTGTACAAAAAGTCTAGTTGTTCAATAGCGACTGCCGCAGTTAAGTTTCCGTTCGGAAATTGGAACCGTGTCAGAATTACGTTTACTAATATACGACCTACAAATAAGTTTATGTTATTAACACAAAAGTAATTAACTTAAAACCCCGTGGATTACTGAAAAAAATGTAATAGCACTAATATTCCATTATTTTTCTAACAGTATAAATCAACTTTTACATGTTATCAAGTACAGTTATTTAAAAGCAGTCATCGACAGTGGAAATCCTCATAAGGTTGTTATTGTTTGCCCAAGTTTAAAGAACATGTAGTTAATTATAAAATCTTAATTAGTCAATTTATATTGTGACTAAATTTGTAATTTTGTAGGATTAATAGGGTTTGCTCCGAATCGGATATCTGTCGTTGATGTACACTTTTTACGATTTAGCCATGCGGAACTTTTATCATAACTTTGCAGGAAACTTTTTTTCCCGACTTTGTTTTATTTAAGAAAATTAAGTTTTGAATTATAGAAAATTATCTTCCGACAAAGATAAAACTTAATATTAAACCATGTGGAAATAACTCGTTAGTTTGTATTTGGAATATGAATGACCAGTAGTGGGTTAATAGATAATTAGAATAGTAATCATAGTTTAAATAATGGGGTTCTATTGTCCACCTTCACTGTTAAAGCCGTAATATAATTTATGGAAATTCACAAGTCGTTAATTCGTAGGTGCACATTCTTATTTGGCCATAACAATCATGTTCGGTACCTTCGTCTGAAGTCCAGTAGCGAATACAACGAAAGGGTGTGTCGGCAAAGTTGTTTGCGTTAATTTATAATTCTGGATAGGTTTGGCCTAAAGTTTTAGCAATTAACACTCAAAACCTTCCTTTGAAACGATTTCACTGAAATGTTAATAACAATATGGACTCTGTTTTTGAGAGCCATCTTTGTCCACAAGTCATTAAGCAATTACTATCTTTGCGGTACTATATTTGTATAAGTCGAGGTTACCCTTGTGGGATTAAGAGTATTTTACATACTAGAATTAAAAATTATTGTACACAATTTTCTTTAGTATTTTTGGAAGTGCAAGTGATTTACAAGAGTATTTAGTCTAAAAACTAATGCCACAACATGTCACATTGTTATATATATTTACATATATTATATATAATAATAAAATTGAAGATTTTGTAGCTTAGGATTTTCATCTGAGGAAATGTGTCGGCAGTAAACTTTCAGTCTCACATACAAAATTAATTTAAAAAAACACTTTTTTCTCTATGAAAGTATAAAAACTTTGAAGTACACATACTTTACGTATAAAACTTTGTCCTCACAATTTATATTCGATGCAAAAGTGTAGGGAGTGACGTTTTATTTATTTAATTTTGTGTACAACATAAGATAAACTAATATTACTTTGAACTTAAGGACGTGATTAGTGTTTGACATCCTGACGACCTGTAAACTAATCAAGATAAAAATGTTGAGTGTAGTGTTATGAAACAAATTACTATAATACTAGACATGATTAATTACGTTGAGGAAGTGTCACGTGATAATCGTAAACTCCAATAGAGACCGTGACGAATTAGGGTAAATTAGGGTTGAAATAGAGATTACAGGAAGTTCATTTGAGACTACAATTTCTTCATGTGTATACAACTTGTAAAACTAACTACAAAGGCAGATATACTCTTATCGCCTTATAGTGTTTGATTAGCTTAACGATAACACAGTGTATTTTAGTTCATCTTAAAACGACTAAATATTATATTTTAATAATAATTAAACAAAATAAATACGTTGATTTAATTTTGTTTTCTACACACGGAATTTGTTGGCTTAACTTAGTTTATAATTGATTGGCTATTTACCTATATTTTTACCTGACTGCGGAAGAAGGAAGGTTTGTTTAGGTGTCATTAAAATTAATTTATTACACAAGTTTGTAAGAACCATTATATCATGTTTTATTTATTACCATTCAAACACATAAATATTGCTTTAAAATATTTTAATTTAATCAATTTTGTTTCAGACGTTTTGTGTGGTATCCAAAAGGTTTCGAAAAAACTATATACACCGTTTTACTGCTACCAAGTCTTTCTTTATGTTTTCCCCGTGGAACTCGTTCCGGCATCTTTGCATCTACATTTCCACCAACCAAATATTTGATTATGTGGTTATGGCCACTATTTTGCTCAATTGTGTCTTCCTAGCCAAAACTGATTCGGTTGAAGAAGCTGAGTGAGTATACCTTTTAGTTTTAATTAAATTATTCTTAATATTTAATTATATTATGGTCATACCAATGTCGATGTCACCAGTATATCTATTGGTGTCTGGCGACAACATAATATGTCGATGCATTTTAAAATGCCTCTCAGTAAAAAAAAAACAAATATCGATAAACTGTTTTTAATAAACTTATTTTACTAATAATATGTTGTACAATGTTTATAGAAATAATCGCTTAGCTAACAAATTTAAAAACGAAGTAAATCTATACGTATCAAAAAGCTTAAATTTAAGCAGTTTCAGACTTCGGACAAAAAAAATTAATTTTAATATTTAGTTTTTATATTTTTTCTATAACATTGTTTAAACACTTTATAGTGAAGAAACAATTTAAATTAAAATAAAACTATTTAGATAATTTAAATTTGTAGTAAATAAATTTTTTATATTTTTCGATCAGGTTACAAAATATAAAAATACTGATTATATTATAGATGTTTGGGGATTCATTTAGTGCATAAACCTCGTATGATATTAATATGCATCGCTCGTGTATTAAATATTTAACCTGGAATACGATTGATGCATAGGATTTTTTTTATGTTATTCAAATGTAATTCCTATTCCTTGAGTTGTTTCACTATTTTAAAGGCGTCAAAAATAATTGTAATGTTAACAGTCAAGAACGTGCTTAATGATTAGTTGAATTAATTTATAAAACATATAATTATTCAATTTTATAGAATCTGTGAAAATAGAAGTTCGATATTATTTTAGTGGATAATTTAGTTTGACTAATATATTTGTCATACAATCCCATCTTGCTTGTTGTAGGCGATTTACATAATAGATTAATATAAAGTAAAATAAAAAAATTACATTGATGCCAAAATATATTTTTTATTTGACTATACCTCCGGACAGACTACTCTGGCGCCCAAAAATTATTCGTTATTATTGTTAGTTATTTTTCTTTGCTATAAAGACATGAAATGGCGCAAAATCTGTTTTCTGTGAGAAGATAGGCTTATTATGCGATTTATATTTATGTATACTTTGTAAGAGAGGTAATTATTTGAAAGAGGTTTTGTAGATTCATTGAGCAATAATAGTGGAACGCCTTCCTTTTTTTTCTTTTACCGGCTGACGCGCTCTATTCGCTTAGGGAGAATTTTGCACCAAAGAACTATGTTCTAACGACACTCACAAAAGAAGCATTTTAAACGCAACAGCTCAAAAGCACATTCGACGCGGCTCGACGATCTCCTTTCAAACTGTCGACGAGAAACTGATTATGCTCCTCGAGTGTATACACACAAATATATTTTGCCTGGGCTTTATTATAAGCTGCTGAAAGGAGTTCTCTAACACTTGCTAGTATTGTTTCCAGTGTATAATATTACATCAATATAGTTCAGTGGGTCATTCTAATCATGTTGATCATCGCGCACATTTGAATACAGAACAATTCTTAGATATTATTAAATCGTTAATCAATAGAACAAACTATGATGGAAGTATTGATTTTGATTCTGTTTGATTTTAGTAGATAGTTAAAATATTCCCTATGTCATCGTTTCTGTCTTACCAATTAAGTAAACAGTTGATTTCCCTTTTAACGCGCAAGTGTGAGTCGGCGGTGTTTGAACCAAATCGACCTATGCATGTCTACTAAACTATTCAAGTCTGTTCAAATAAAAAATCTAAAAATGTTTTAGTAAAATTTTATTTGTACGATCAAAATTGATACAATATGTCAAGGATAAAATAATTTTACTACTTCAAAAATGATGTTAAAAGGTTGTACGCTCTTATAATACATTTACATTTTATATTTCTTATTGTACAACATTTTTTTTTCTGTAAAATTAAGGTCGAGAAAGTTAATGATTTGCCTTGATGATACATCCATTAAGTTATATTAAATCAAATATTATTATTTAAGTTACAAGCTAATGTTTAATTTATCTTTAAATTAATTTAATTAAAATTTAATGATAGCTTAGTGAATCAACTCGAGTTAAACATTTTGCTCCATTTTTTTTATTCCAAATATTATTTGAGAAGAATTATATTATTGTATTTGCATAACTTGCGGTTACTCACACTTGAGTAGTTTGACTGGTCTGCCAACGTTTCGGAATACTTGCCCATTCAATCTTCAGAGCTGTTGCTCGTACTATGATTTCCTGTCGACTGACCGATCCGCTTCTCCAGTCATAAGTTATATACCGTACCCCCCGCCGTGGAGCCGTATTCTTTGCCTTCTTCTGTCGCTGCCAGCTGTTTTCTTTGGCCACGCCTCTTCGTTCTGGTCGCTTATCGTTTGGTTGATTTGCATTTCTGTTATCAATAGTTTCCTGCTGTATCCTCGGTCCTCCCCACTCCAGTCGGTCCTCTTTTTAATTGATGTATCACTGGTTTCCACGTTTTGCTTTATTTTCGTCCATCTTTCCGGTTGAATGTGCATTTTTCTATTTATAAGATTAAGGTTATATACTTAAGTTATAGCTAATTAAGTAGTGAAAAATGACAATACGGGAAAATGGATACCTAATGCCTTTGTAGAATAACCAGTCAAGAAGAAGACTTCTTACAGTCTGTAAAAAATCGTCCACTTTAAAAAAAAAAAAAATATTAAACCTGATTACTCAACGAGGCGTTCTTCATCTTCCCGTAAGGCATGTTTTCGAGTAAAAAATGTCCGCCAGCGTAATTTGTTTAGCTTTATATAATTACATAATAAAACTTACAAAAATAATGTAATTGCAGTTATAAGCAGTTAAATTTAAAAAAAAAAGAACGTTATTAAATTTTAAAAAAATCGAGTGTTTGAATAATTTTCATTTTAAAGTACCTAATCATTTTTAAACAACATTAATGTATTTTCGATATCAGTTTTCTGTTTAATTTTAACTAATACTTTATTGAAACAAAACTCAAACACCTTGATTAAAATCAAAACTTCTAGTGTATTGGATACTTATTAAAAATAATATAGTATATACCATACTATATTAATTTTAATAAGTATCCAATACCGTATCCGGTACACGATAAAATCATAATATTAGCTTTTGTTTCTAGCAACGTATGTTGAGCACTGTTTTCCTACAGAAATTATTTAAATGCATTTAGTAAAATTTCTATTTCTAGTTATAGAAATGACAACTTTATTTAATAATTTTGTTAATCGAATATGTCTTCAACAGCTGGAAACAAATAGAATAACTTAATAAAATTATACCCAATCGTGATTGTAACTTTCAATAGTCTTAGTAATTCTCAAATAAGTTCCGCAATAGTAAGCAGTAATTGCGTCTTGTGTTATTAAGAATATTTATTGTTTATGAAAAACCTGGGAACTATTAAATACAAATAATTATTAAAAAAAATTGTATTTGAATAAAAAAACTTCGTTAGAAATAGACATAGAATATCATAATTATAAAAAAAAGACATATTTTTAAGTTATAAGTAATAAAGGTAGTATAAATTAGACAAATACTTAAAAATTCATGAACATAGAATGACAAATTATAATATCAAAAGTGTCTTCCAATACTGACCAATATATCTTTACTAAATCAACTCAGTGTAAATAATGGTCCACTTGCACCAAAAAGTAATCCATAATAATAGTAATAATAATAAATTTACATATATATGTAAGATGCTGTATAAAGTACTGTTCCATATTGTCACCCAGCTGGATGTTAAAAGTTCAATGCAGCACGTAAAGGGCTTTTTGAAACGTACTTTTTTTTAGCTTGTGGCTCGATTAAAAAGATAGTTCAAATGACGTTAAATCTTATATTCTTTAAACGAAAAAAGCGACGCACTTGTTTTGGGTACTTATACAAAAAAACCGAAATGTAGCAAGTGTGCATTTAAAACCGATACTTATGCAAATGTTCACAGATTTTGATGCTTTTACAAGTTTTTTTTGGGCGGTCGATGTTTGTGTCCATATATTTCTTGGACGTCGGGTCATAAATATGGATGCGGTATATTTTGTAATACGGACGATGGTTATGGTTTTCAGGTACATATTCTTGGCCATCTACACGGCTGAAATGATCATCAAGACAATATCCAAAGGATTCATATTGAACAAGTACACGTACTTGAGGAATCCGTGGAACTGGCTTGATTTCATCGTCATCACTTCGGGTTACGCCACTATCGGCATGGACGTGGGAAATCTAGCCGGACTGCGTACGTTCCGGGTGCTCAGGGCACTCAAAACCGTCTCCATCATGCCAGGTACTACTTACCGCATTTATGAGTACTTCATCAGTCATCATAAATTGAACATTTTTCTTTCTCAAATTGTCTAACATTGTTTTTTTATTGCTTTAAAAAAAAGTAGATAATTGGTTAATGCCAAGCATAAGGGTATTACCAATTTATATTGTAGAATAGTGATAGGTCTTAACTCAAATTAAAACAAAAAAAAGTAATATTATAAATGATTAGCGACTATAGCTGTCTTGTTCGGGTTTGCCAAAATACCATCCCAAGTTTCCTTCTCTATATATTTTTTTCTCACTACGACACCCCAACTTCTACGTTTTTCTACTTTCTACCTTTCTACATTTTTTACCAACCATATTTTTAACCTTTCCATTTTTTACTACTCCACGTTCCCTTCTACACCGCTCCTCTCTCACTGTTTTTTTCTTTCTGCGCTATTCTCAATTTATCTTCTTTCTCTTATTACATTAATAATGGATCGTTCAATCATTCTCAGATCGCGAACACAAAAAAATAACGTTACCTGCCGACTTAATTGTTTTGTTGTTGAAGTCTCAAAAAATAATTCTGCTAAATCAGGTACTTATGTTTTAACGTGATTCATTACCTACTTGCACAAATTTAAAAAGTGTAAATCAACCGTGAGAATATATTGGCTATTTACAAACGAAACATAGGCAATAATCACGGAAGTGTATGTTAAGTTTTGTAAACCTGTTAACAGTAGTTTTATAAAATAAACCATGCATCTATTCATGTACAAAATTAACTCTTTTATAATACATATTTTGTAATTAGTAGGGATATAGATCACTTCGAGAATACAAATTATACTTCGTTCATTATAATGAATAATTGAGTAATTGTTTTGTAATAAATTCTAGCCATTAGTTACTAAGTTTAGGGTTCTTTAAAATTTAGTGTTTCACAGTCATTGCTTTCTTGGTTTAGTTGAAATGCGGCTTGTTTGTCTTAGCGTATATAAATGTATAATAACAAAGTCTAGTCGTGAAAAGTTTTAAGGAAATAATATAACTTTCCACAACTACGTTAATCGATGTACACACATAGCAAACTAAAATGTTCTACGGCTGAAGTGTAATTTACCCCTTTTTTTTGGCTATAGATTTTTAAGAAACCCGTATATGTTAGGCCCCACTCTATATCTACCTATAATCCTATAATCTTCTATTCCTTCTTGGGAAAAGGGCTTATATTTTTTTAGATTGTCAATTTTAGCGATAGTACTATGTCTGAATATTCTATATAAATTTGAAACGTTATACATAATTATTTGTAAATAAAATTTTTTTAAATATTATAAATTGAAATAGAATTTGATGAATATATTTTGTTTATACTACACTACAGTATGTTTGCATTTTATTTAAAATAATTTTTATAAAATCTAATGTGCACCAGAAATACGATTCTTAAAGAAAAGCTTTTATAAATACAACCGATAATGTTCTATAGCAACCCTCGTAGTCTCGTACACGACCTATTTTATCGATGGCTTTTAACATGTCTGTACACGGCCGTTAAACTTTTCTGATGGCTAATATATAGCTATATTTGTATTTCAAGAAAGACTTTTACATCCTGTTTGTACTTTACCGACCAATGATACTTTAGTGTTTTACTTAAAATCAAACAATATCATTTTCCGAGTGTTTATGTGCACAAAGTACTTTAAAAATGAAAAGGATTGTGTATATCAACAATCAGTGATCATATAAAGTATTGCTTGTCGAATCCTCTTACCTATGAAAAGTACAGCTGAATATTTGACTAAAAAAATTAATTAAAACTAATTTTAATTTAGTTTAAAGAAATTAATTAAATATCACATTAGTAAAATCGAGGTTATGACCTTTCTAAATAATATAATAGTTTAACTTTGCAGTTTAATTACAGCTGTTGTGTTAAAATAATATAAAAATTCAAATATAATTTATACAAATTCTGGCGTGGCATAGCGATTAGCGATTCACTGAAATGAGAAATTTTAGTGTTCCCCTTAAAGTGATTTTGTTCGTTTCACAACCCATTAAACCATTAGTTTTGATTTGAAGTAAGTTTGTTTTTTGACCTAGATGGCCGTACATTTATTACACGCTAATTTGTCCATTTTCATAACACTAAAGTCATGCAATATTTAAATTACCATTACTATTATAGTGATCAATTTTCATTTGCAACGTATCAATCATCGGCAATAACTTTTATATTTCCTTTTAGGCGCAATATTAATAATATACAGCTGACAATCTCTCAACTCGCTTAAGTCTGAGCAATAAATATTGCATAAGGCAAGATGCTGTGTTTTAAAAAGTAATAGGTTCAACTTCGCTAATAATGATAAATCACATGACAATTAAAGTTTAAAACGGGTTTTTAGTTCATATTTTTGAGTGAGTAACGGATCGCGGGAAAATACTAAATTGTTTATAAATAAAATAAAATAATGGATACAAAAAACATACACACATTTATTTTTGCACTTTAAAATACATATAATGTTACTTGACGTTATGACGGACTTTGCGCACATTTAAAATATTTTAAGACAGTTTGCAAGTTTTAATAAGATTTATTTTAAAACAATATCGTTTGTATTATAATGGTTTTTAAATGGGAGCATTTAAATATAGTCGATTGTCTTATCCAAAAAGCAATAGTGGTTAAAATAGTCAATTGCATTCAATAATTGTTTCACTATATAATATTTATTTTATAAATTATGCACTTATAATAAACTAAAAACCCGATGGGTAAAATTGTTAAGACTAAAAAAAATCTTGATTTCTACTTTTTGTTTTTCTTAAAGTAAAAATTGCTCAATTTTATACTACAAAACAAATGTATTAAATTATAAAGAAAAACACCTATTTTGTTTACTGAGGCTATGATTTATATACACAGTACTAATGCGATGGGCGCAAAAAAAAAATTATATATTTTTATAAATGTGAACTTTATTTACAACATTTATAAATTAGGTCTTATTTTTTAAAATAATCATTGAAGCTTGAAGCTGAATAGGAAGTCTTTAGTTTTGTACCTTTTACAAACCTTAATTATTTTTATTTGCTGTTAATCTTAATGTGCGAGATAACAGTAAATAATTTTGTGTTTTATTTTTATTTGTATTTCAGTAGCCAAAAAAGTATTTTTATTTGAAAAATAATGGGAATACCAAAATTTGTCCGATTTAAGTAACGCTTGTTTAAAATAAATCTCTAACAATAAGATGATTATTTTATACTTAGACTCGTAAACATGTATTAATGAAACCTTTAAATAAAAAATTAATCTTTTCAACATTCGTGCGCCTGTAAATTATTATCGAAACGGCGCTGCATTTCGGAATTGTCAAAAACGGAATGTGTATTATTATGATCAGACATGACTGGTAACTAATAACATGGCGGTTGACGTGCATCGATTTAACTCGTGAAGTTTTCCAAATAAAAGCAGTTCGGGCACATAAAATATGTATAATATAATAGATTTTAAATAATAATTGGGTTTGTCACGTGTGTAAAATGTTCGCCGTCGGATGTTTACGTTGCAGGCTAATATCAATTTTCAAATCAACTTGACTACCTTAAAACACGATTAATATTATTGTGGCCTACATAAGCTCCGGGGTTGTACGGTCGCACATTCGTCGCCACAGTTACACGTACAACAAGTAACCGTGAGTTATGGACAGACCTCGCCGCCGTATAATGATTAATGGTTCGATATTTTCGCAAAGGCAAGCGACACCGCACGTATTATTGCTATCCGATTTGTATCTCCTGAAAAAATAAGCTGACTGATGTAGTTTCTTCCCCAACGTTCGTCCTCGGCATTACGGTACGAAAATATATAACTAAAAAAAAAATAAAACAAGTATGAGCTGCACAGCATGAACGAATGGCCGCTGGTTTTGAGGTAGTAATAAATTTGAAAATGGTAAAATCACTTTACAGATAAATACCTCAATTCGAATGCGCGGACAGCGTTTGAAAACCTTTTATTTTCATCACACGCGTCGTGGCTCATCGTCGTGTATCAACTGGACTTAAAATATATTTAATTTTCGGATACTTTTGTTTTCTCATATTATTATAACTATATTTTTTAATAATATCGGTTTCTTTCCATTTTTAAATTATTATACTTTCAAATGTATTTCTTAAATTACTTTTTCATTGTATTATACATCCTTGACTTGTATTTTAAAGATTATAATTTTTTTTTGTAACTCTTACCTTGATCTAATGAGGTAGATATTTTATAAAAAAAAAAACAAATCAATCAGTGTGTCGCGACTATTTGTTCCACTGGTACACCATAGGTTGACGAGGATATAATATAAACTCTAATTACAAGTGTAAGCACATGATCGATGCCACTGATGACCACTTGCCCGTATTCCATATTCCTCCCATGAATTACCGCTTTTTCATATGGAAAGAAAATAATTTAGCTTAAAAGATAATGTCGGGATAACTTAGTGAATTGATTAGGTAGATGAATTAGAGATTAAAATTGCACTAATGGAAGGTGAGATTGGAGTAAAAAGATAAGACAAAAGAGGCTAAAAAGAGACAGTAAAACAGTTTTCACCTTTTAAGGTCAATCCTAACAAAAAATTAAATAATATTAATTACTAATAAATAATAATATTTATATTATAAATAATTTACTACAAAACTAAACTAACCATTATTTTGTTTATCATCCTATTTCATGTAAATTATTTGCATTGTACTCTCATTTATCACCAAGACTAGTGCGGGCTGTGTTCGTAATTATATCTGTTATCGGAGTCAATTAGTATCGATTGTTGGTCTAATGCAATTTTAATGACTGTATGAATTGGTGTCGCATATTATATTGGTTGGATTTTAAATTAGGCAGTAAACATTTAGTAATATTATTTAATATTCCAAAGGTTCAAGTCGAATGAACATGATTATATATCATTAATAATATTTACAGTAAAACAATAATTATATATATATTTTTTTCTTTTTTTAAGTTGTGTGGTTAGATAATGGGTTAAGGTAATTTGTAAATAATTATTTTTTTTCGAGTTTATTATTGTTCGGTTTATATGCCAAATAACGCACGTTTGGAATTGTTGTGAAAATTAAATTTATGAAGTATACCGTTCTCGCGTGCCAAAACATATAAAATAAATAATAATTAATGTAAAACGGTATTAAAAGCATAGAAACGACTACATTAAAGTCGGCCTAGAACGATGGTGGTATGTTTTTTTAGTTCTTAAACTTACCGCATAGGCGGCGTGAACTATTTTTTCTCAGTTAATAATTTAATAATGAAAATCGAATAATATCTCAACGAGCATCATTGCAAACGCATTTAGTTCATCTTCATAATATATATTATATACATGTTTAAAAAAAAACTTTCTATCCTCGTGTTACCATTTTTATTTTATTTTTTTATTTGAATTTATACTTATCCTCGATTCACACCCATAAACAATTTAAAAGTAAGCGGTTTGCTGACAACGATGTTCTCAACTATGAGATCGAGTAAAAGCTTTTTGTTAACTTCGTCCTATAATAAATTCTCCAAAAGAAAAAACTATTTAAAAAATATAGACTTAACAGAAATCTGACAAACTGGAAATAATCCGCTTTTATTGAAGCTTATACAGCTATACTTAACTGCAGATCGATCTATGAAGCATATACTTACACACCACATAACGCTATAATCCAAGGACTATTCTATTTAAACGAGGTCAACCGTCGCTTTAGTCGGGATCATATTTGTGCGACACTTATAGAATTAAATGATCTTGCATCTCATTAAGTGCGAATATAAAATTATTAGCAAGTAGCAATTACTAAATCTTACAATTTTTTTTTCTACATAGTACGATACAAAACGAATAACGTTTCAAAAGTAATTGATTTTTATTTTACTGTTGTATTTATAGGCTATAAATAACATGAAACATGGTATGTATAGCAAAAATAAATTTAATAAATGTATTTGGTGTATATATACATTATGAATTTTGTTTTGTTTTAATCGCAAAAACGGTTAAAAAAATTATTATGTATTGTTGATAAACATCAATAGTCTTCAATTATTGTAATCCAAATTAGTTACTTAATAAAAAAAAAATATTTTTAAAATCTGTATTAACAAAATTGGAATTTAAAAATTTCTATTTAAAAACTCACAATTTTTACCAATTCTGAAGGTTTACTTTTCTGTTTTTTTTTTTTGACAAATGTCAACATTAATAAGAAATATTTGCTTATTTTTTTTTTAAATTGGTATTGTTTATAGCGTTTTTTTAAAACCAATATAAGTCATTAACTCACGAGGCCAACAAGGTTTGCAAAATGATTTGTTCCTACTTAGCAAATAACGTCAAGAAGTGAAACATACCTCCCCGGAGCACAATTGTTTTATACAAATGGGCATAGTGAACACTGTCTGGAAATCGCAAACCCCAAAAAGAAAGCGGAACGTAGTTGGACTGAATTATTGTTATTTGAAAACCAGTATAAGTGTAAAGTTTCGATTCTTTTAGAAAGTCGGATACTTTTTTTTTGTTTTTTCTAAAAGGATGTAAATAAATTCTGAAACAAAGAAAAATTTCAGAAACATTGCCTGATGGCGGGTTCAGCGTCCTACAGCAGCCATCGCACACAGTCCGACTCTTTTGTCGCTAAAAACTTAACAATAGACAAGATAATGCGCCGTGCCCCCTCCTCCTATTTAGCTTTTTTTCTAATTTTATTTTCGACGGTTGTGTACAAGAATTGTTGACAAAAACTTGACACTGTAATAATTATTTTTAAAGCAGTTAGCTTAACACTATTTGAACTAATTGACTTTTTTCTGTAATGCATCGATCTGTATTATAATTTTAAGAAAGCATTCTATTTCAATCGTTCAAATGTTTCGTTTTGTTGAAAAAATGAGTTACGCATTCTCAGTCGTTGGCCTTCTTTGCAAGGTCATTGTAATATGAAAAATATTCAATCGCTCCCATTGATTTCGTTTCAGTAAAATGGTTGCATAAACTTTTGAAATATTCGAATAGTATTTAGTAGTCAGTATCAATATTCCATATTGTCATGCTGATAAAAAGATAGGTTGTGATTTGTGATTATGGTTGAATATCTGAACTCAATATTAGTAATATTTAATATTAGTTTAATGTCGTATTGTCTAAGTATAGATTGATAGTTTTTCGTTTTTTATTACTATACGCCAGACAACTTAAAAAACTTTCAACTGCTTTATCATTGCCCGTGTGGACTTTTCAAAGAAGTAAAAAGTTTTGTAAAGGATATAACATCATTTTTCACGTGCCAGTTATCTTTAGTGTCCCGGAGTCGTTTTGCCTGTGCAAACACCGAATAGACTCACTGACAAACGCCGCTATCCTAGCTACACAGAACATTAACCCTTGGTCGTTAAAAAACTGTATATTTTATGAACCAAAACGTCGAGACCGGAAACGAAATAAAAAAAAAATCTTGCTAAACGTAAATGGTTTTTGTTAATTGTAGTTTAAAATGCTAATTTTTCTGTTCAATGAAAGCTCGCTTTAATGTGAAGAATTTGATCTGTGTGCGACAACATAATGCGCGAAATTTTAGTTAAGTACTTTCAAGTGTATTTTTGTTTTGTTCTCCATAATTATAAATTTTCTCTTTTTAGCTTGAATTAAGCAAATGCATTGAAAGTTACATTGTACTTGTGTATTCGAAGAATAACACTAGGTCGCTGGCGTTCATTAGTAGCAGAAATTAACAGCTACAATGATTTGTATGCATCTGTCAGGGTTTAGGTTTTATCGCCAGAGATGACAGGTGAACAATGTAGTTCTTGAGGTTTATCCAAATTTACACTTTTAAAGAGGACCAGAAAATCCCTTAAACGTAATTTTCTCCTGTTTAATTCGATAATTTAGCGATACTTGCTTGATGTATCTGCCAAAGTATATTTTTTTGTTTTTGTTTTTAATACTATTGTAAAAATCATTAAAACTTGCTATTTTTCACACATGTCGTAAACATTAAACGACGGGATCATTGTTTAAACCCATTCGACAACAAAGTTGACAATCAAAATTCCTTTTCCGTCAACTCGGTTTTTCATTTTCTTTTGAATGTGTACCATTAAATCTTAACACAAATATTACTACGATTCATTATGAATCTTATTTAATTAATAATTGATTGAGCATTGTATTGATGTTCAACAAACTTAGAGTCATTCATAATGCTATAGTAGTAAAAAAACTTTTAGTATTGTTTGTTCTAAAATTTGAATATAATCATTACAAAAAGACGTACAAGTAATTAGAAAATTCATTTAAACGTGTTTTTCATAATATTATTTCTTATATACACCTTGATAATTACAAAAAACAGAATCGAATACTTCCTTAATGAACAATTTAAAAGTGTGATTTAAGGCTTTCAAAGGATGAGTGTGTAAAATAATATAATAATTTACTATTTAACAGAACACAACATTCAGCTTTTCTCCTACGCTGCTGATTAATTCACTCGCAGTCAGCATTGTGTTGGCGGCTATATGAAAGGCGATCGACGTTGCACATTTCAGGACATTTTGCATCGCAACGATAAAATATGTGACACTATACAGCTTCTGATTAATCAATAGTTTTGTTTTATTTTTATCAGCATAGTTGTTCACTGGTTGATTTATGCAAAACCTATTAGTATTATTTTCAGTAATTTTATATAAAATAGGTTTATTCAATTTGGAAAAGAAGCAATAATACCATAATACGTGATATTTGGTGTAGGCAATTTTACGTGTAGTCGACTAGACATTATGATATTATCATTGTTTGTCGTACACTCGGTATAAATTCGAAATTAACTTTTCACAGCTGTATCAATTAGATTAAGATTCGAAAAGAACCCGATTGCTTCCAATTTTAATTCGCCATTTAACCGTGGGGTAACCTTGGCCATTACAACGGTTTTTATTTCCCTTCAGTCGATACGCTTAAGACCGTGAACGTTTCTTAAAACGACATATTAAGTATTGCTCACCTTAAATGTTTTTTTTTTTGTCATTTTCAGGTCTCAAGACGATCATTAACGCGCTGTTGCATTCCTTTCGTCAATTAGCCGAAGTCATGACTTTGACCATATTTTGTTTGATGGTATTCGCCCTGTTCGCTCTGCAGGTTTACATGGGCGAGCTTCGAAATAAATGCGTCATGGTCAACGAGCACAATCATGTGTGGCAAACGTAAGTGTCTTTTATTATTATATTTTATCGATTTGGGAGTATTTGGGACAACTGTTGCCATCCTAGTGTAATCTCTTAAAGATCATACAAATGATTTAATACACGTATATAGGTCGACTTATAGGAGGAGCACGACTTAGGTCTGTGCTCTCTAAATTTTCCTAAATTTTTTACAGGAATCTTGTAAAAACGAAATCGATATTTGTCTTAAACTAATAACCGAACTTCAACTGTCGCGTTGACGTTTATTTTTATTATTTTATTTTTTAATAAACGCACACTAGTTTTGATATCTGGTCACTAAATGTCTTTATTTTAAAAACGCCATATGTATTGGACGGACAATATACTTTGTTCTAATACGCCGTCCCAATAGGGTAGAGTTGACATTTTTAAATTACAAATCGTGGTACATAGTGGACTTTGGACGTATAGAACATTTCAACAAACACCGTCGTAACAATAGAATGAAAATGACTAACGTGGTATCCAAACGGCGGAGATAGGCGGGGTAGATCCTAAGAAGAAAACGTACAATGGTGTTTTTTCCCCCTTTTTCTGTGTGTACCATTAATGTATTTTTTTTTGTTCTTTAATTTCGAGTCATCATCGAGGTGTATCGCACCACACGAAACGGACAGACACTGTACATTTCATGTCTGTAATTTAGTACAACAAAAAGTGTTGTAGTATTATATTTTACCGTAGAATGCGAATTCAAAAAATTGTAATCACAATAGTTTTGATTAAATTCAGCACGGTAAACCTACGCAAAAATATACTGTTCAATTGAAATTATGTTCAATCCCAAATAGATAAACCGTGTGTAAAAATATCTCTAATAATCCGTAACTATAATGTTTATCTTAGTATAAATATAACTTGAGCGTTTATTTAATTTAGAGTCGGGTGGTGTAAGTATATGTAGATGTGAGTTCTTTTTAAGAATAAACAGTAACAGCTTGAATGTCTAATATAGTTTTAAATACTTTAATAATTAATATCTTATGATTTCTTATGCGTTTATGACTGTCTAATAGAGTTCTTTTATTCGTTTACCGTGTCAAATAACAATAATATTATTCAAATAATAATCAAGTTAAAACTTAAAAGTATCACAATAAATGGGGTTTTCTTACAACTTCTGGAAACGACCCAAAAGCAGCTAGACGGGCTAGAGAAATTTAAAAAAACAGATCGATTTTAGCGAATAAACAAATAAATAACAAAATAACTCATGCATTTTGGTTCTTGTTCCAAATTTGTGTTGTATTCAATGTTATTAGCTAATGTTAAGCCCTTGCTCACCGTGGCAGTATTTTATTAAATTTCTGTTTACGTTTCGCACTTCCCATTCGTTGTGTTTTTTTCACATTTCGAGTGTGCGACGCGTGTGCATACATTTTGATATAGTACACATTATTAAAATTTTCATTACAACGCGACGCGCTCAGGGAATCCCGCTCTGTCTGAAATATTTAAATTACAAAGGACTATGCGGAAAAATAAATATGTGCGAGTTTGAGATCAATATATGATTTACGACTTGAGTCACTTGAGACACCTGCGAGTTGTTACACTTGACGGACGTATCAAAAAGTCAACACCGTTGGCGCCAATCGACTTGCGGTTTCTTAGGCCTCGAACTCGGTAGGAAAATTTACATTGATCGGATCTCGGCGCATGTCCGACTACCGTGTTCGGGACAAGAAAGCTTGTACTGTTATGGTAGCAGGAAATGAGCGCGAGTAGCTAAGGAGTAACTACTTTAATGGATTTCTTAAGAGGGAAAAATGTAATTGGAAAATGCGTTATGCCGTAGAGCTGCAACAAACGGCGGCAGCGCAAATGTGTAGGTACGCACTCTGATACAGTTAATAGAAACACGTGAACAGCCTTCGTTCTTTATGAAAACGATTTCAAACGAATTCAAGCAATTTCAACTTTTAAAATCATCGTCGATCACTTCACAGTACTGATGTGAAGTGTGCACAAAGAATCCGGTATAAACGCAGTACGCTTTTTTAATTGTATACCAACTGTTTTTTATATTGTTTGTAAGTTTTTTTGATCAATCAAAATGATTTCACCATGTAGATTTATTAAACATTTACACAATATAGGTCTGGGTTTGAAATGTTCTATGTTAAAGTTATTAAAAATAGTTCAAAACCTAACGACAACATTAACAAAAAGGAAATATCCCGATTAATTCGAATTATTTTTAATTTTATCGGTTTTTACTTTTTGGATTCTTTTTAAACCAATGTCGTTATTACAATGTTTCCATTTATATATAAACAAAGAACATTGATCACATTGTATACATGCTTAGTATTGGTGAATAAAAAATTATAAGGGTCCCGGGAACGCGCCCACTTTAGCCCTAAAGTAAAAATATATTAAGTAACGTGCGCATAGCAAAAAAATCTTTGATTGAAGACAAACAATTTTTAGATTTAATTTTTGCTTGTAAATTATACTTTGGATCAGATTAGATAATAGCAATAGTAATGAAAACAACATTTTTATATAATAGTGTGATTTTAAACTATATATCAATGTTGTAATTGTTTTCTAATTGTTATGTAGACTAGAATGTCTAACTCCATATGTAACTGTGCATTTTTTTTACATACAATATGTCATTTTTTTTAACCATTTGTTTATAAACGATTTGACGACAACTTCTAGTTTTATCGAGATAGATAGATGTTCAATTTAAACTAACCTAACCTAGCCTGTAATAAAATGTACACCTGTTGTCTTAATATTATATTGTAAGGTTCTATAAATATTATTTTAACACAAACGTTATCTTAGTTATTTTGATGTCATACTTTTGCTAACTTTTTATCCCAGTCATTTCCTTTTCTTAAACCCATTTTCGCCACTTTTTCTTTTGTCTTAAATATTATTGCATTTTTTCTGGTTATCGAATTATGAGGACTCTTGGATAATGATATTGTAGACCGCCGAGCATGACCGCCAAGCATATAAAAGAATACTTTAAACTTTACTTTGAAAATTACTTTTCTTTCACTTCCTCGCAACTAACAAAACAAAATATAATATTTACAGCAAAGAACGGTTTTCTAAATGATCCTCTCTCCCTACAGACTCAACTCAGTTTAATGTATTAATTACTAAACAAATATTAATAATTAATGAATATGAATGTTATACTTAACAAGTTTGTGCAAAACAGAACTTAACGTAGGAAATTTATAGTTTTTAACCTCTATAGCTGGATTTTTTTTTCTTAGTTCAATTGATGTAAATGTACATGCACTAATATAGTACTTGGATTTTTATTTATTTTTCAGATGGATAAGTACAAAGGAACACTGGCTGTCCGACGTCAAAGGTAAACCGGTATTGTGTGGCAACGTTACAGGGGCGAGGTGAGATATACAAATTTAATATACATTTCAATGTTTTGTTTGCAGAACTTCATTGCGAGAGTTTTTAATGTGCCAATCGTTTAAATGCTGTTGTAAAACACTATAGGAGAATTCTTTATTTTTTTTTAAAGCGAAAGAAAGTACATTGTTTTTCATGTTTTCTTATGAAAACATAAGTTAAAATAATACAAACAAGTCTAATGTTTTTTTTAAAATAGTTTTGTTTTTATCGTTAAGTGTTTATGACTTAATCAAAGCCTAACTTTGAGTTATATAAAATTAAAAACTCTGATTCTATTTATTTCATATAGGTGAGCTTAAGTATAATTGATATCTTAAAGCGTTCAGTTCATGTGTAACGTAAAACATTCATAATTATTTTATTATAATGTTGTGAATGCGTTTCTCTAACGTGACCACAAAACTTTTTTGTCGTTATTCGTGTGCATTTTAAACGTTTAAAAGCATTTTAAATGATTTACATAAAAAATGTTTAAAACAAGTAAAACTTTTTTTTTTGTAACAGTGTTTAAAATAATTATTTACTAATGCAAACCTGTAGAAAACTGTTGCAATTTAATAATCTTTTTCGATTAATCTATCAATATATTTGTTTGACTACACAACTAAAACCTATTGGCTATTGGTTTTATAATATATATTATATACTATACATTTTATAAGTTTTTTTTTTTTCATTATTGATATTATACTCTTATCGAAAATATTGACATTGTCAAAATTTAGTCACACCAATATATTTATTTTGCGTTGGATTGATAACTCTCTATTGTATACGCACCCAATATATCTATCCAACCAAAAAAAACCATTTTTCTGTATAAAACAACTTAATATAATATAACTTGATAAAACAGGTTAATGTATAGTCATAAAACTCACTGTACATTTTTTTTTAATAGCTTTATATATTTCATATATTTTTATACTCATAAATATATTTTTTATGCCACGGAAATGCCTACATATATTATTATGACATTATGATAACGTTTAAAAAAAATTATTTTTTCAGACATTGCCCGGTCGGATATTTTTGCATCAGCGTCGGTCCGAACCCCAATCACGGTTATACGAATTTTGACAATTTCCCGTGGTCCATGTTGACCACATTCCAGTTGATCACGTTAGACTACTGGGAAAATGTCTACAATAATGTAAGTTACAAGACAGTAATCATACTATTATATTTAACCATTACCGAGTAACCTTGCCGTCTCCTGTTATTCATCTTCGACACTTCCCAGTCACAAATGCATTCAGCTAGCTGCAAACCTTCTGGCTACACATCACCATTTCTTATCACTACCTCCAAATCCTTTAACTCTAATCTCGTTTTACTTTTTTCTTTCGACATATTCAAAATAATCCCACATCATTCTCTTTCGTTTTCCTGCCAATTAAGAAACTATATTTATTTTGCAATGTGTTGTTTACCTACATAATGACAAATGCGTTTGTGACTTTTGACACATAACACGGTTACACGTGGGTTCATTAAAAATATAAAAAAAATAAGCGCTGAGCAACTTTTGATTATCGTTACAAAAAAATATTTGTATATTATTATATTTTTATGTATTTTCTTCCGCAATCTTTGTTTGCACTAGGGTATTATTACGCGCGAATTGCCTCTATTATTCATGTCTTGGGGGAAATTGGGAACGAGAAGCTGGAATGATATCAAAAATAGAGGGGAAAATATGTCTTGGCGAACACGTCGGCGAGCCTAACAGACGAATTAAATGTCTTAGCGAGCCATAAAGACTGTCGGGCATGCATTTTACAGCTATTAGCATACCATTATACATCATTATTTTAACAGTTCAGCCATAAAATGTGTGCACAGACACGACCCACCGTTACTCGATATTAAACAGTCGATATGGAAATACAACCGTGTATTAATATTTATGTATATGTATGCGAGCTAAAGGAAGCGTTTTTATGTCAGATGTCTGCATTAAAGGATAAACTATGGCATACATACATATTTTTTTTTTTTATAAAAACACGGATTTTTCTGTGTTATCCTGTCAATTCCTTAGCTTTTTTATTTATTCATAGCTGTAGTTTTTTTTTAAAATGGAGCACAAAAATAATAAAATATTGTTTTGTCGGAAAGTTATTTTTTTGTAATAAACAAAATGTGTTAAAGTTTCATAGATTGAAATATTATGTGGATATATTTTGGGTTTTGTAGATTTAATACCTTCTTAACTCCGCATCGAAGCCAAAATATATTTTTAGTTTTAATTTTAACGAGAGAAAATAAAAAATATATCCAGTAAACGAAATGTGTTTATTAATGTGTGTAAATTAATTTGAGAAAATATTTTTTAAGATTAAAAAAAAAAAAGAACCTTGAAACGTATAATAAATTACAAGGTTAATATATAAAATTGAAATGGATAATATTAATATAAACTTATTTACAACAAAAACATATAATATATAAGCTATCTAGTTGATTAAAATTCGAGGACACAATACACATTTGCACTTGTTTGATTCGTTTATTACAATTCTCAATTTTATTGTTCCCAGCCGAAGCTAAAAAGAAACTAGAGCGGTACATAAATATTAAATAATATGGTATGTCAAAATTATCATAAGATGCTGTGGTTTTAAAGTAATGTTTTGTTAGCCTTTACATGGTGCTGATTGATTTTATACTAGTCCCAGTGTCAACACAAATTTTATATTGACCAGGCTAAAAACATATCCATTTCAAATGCGCACACCTAGTTTTATCAGTTCGACAACAAAATTCGGATATGATTGCACGGACAAAAACTGTGGGAACTTTTTAAGAATAATATCCGGACTGCTGTTTATAATACATGGATGTCTTATTCGTTTCATTACTGTTTATCAAGTATACGCAAGTACTTCCTTTTTTTCAAGCGAAACCCAAGGTAGGTTACTTCCTTACCGGAACAGTGCAGTCGCTAGTTCAATCGTTCGGAGAGACAAATATTTAACGTTTTCCAGTGCGCGTGCCGCGGGTAATTGTTTTCGGATCTCGAAGATGGAGGTGACTTTGTTTACTTCTTTGTGCACTGTTCAAATATTAACTCGCACGCACTTTTCGGGGATTAATCGAATTGGCACGCGGTCGCAATCCATCACACGCGACGACCTGACAAACAAACGTAGGTACTACGAGGCCAAGATAGGAGATAGGAGTGATGGGGGGGGGGGAGAAACGACCACAATAGTCGTTAGTCGATCGCCCAAATAAAATGTGAATCATTGCGTTCGCTTCCGACTGGCGTTAATCGGGTCATGCAAACCCCGTGCAAACAAATGGGGTGGCCGAGGAGAGGTAAAGGGTTGGTCAGCCGGCTTAAGTGTGTTCAAAACAGAGGGATTGTGGTGCGAGCAAACGGCCGTTGTAATATATTTTCATCCTGTCGAATAGATTTGTGACGACATAAGCTCAGTGGTAAATCAGTGCCAGATTAACCGCCATAACAACTGTTTTCAGGTGTTGGCGGCATGCGGACCGATGAGCGTGATATTCTTCACCGTGGTCGTGTTCTTCGGTTCGTTCTACCTGATCAATCTCATGTTGGCCGTGGTTGCCCTGAGCTACGAAGAGGAAGCGGAAATCACACAAGAGGTAAGCCGCCGCGCCGCGCCGGTATAAACGTCGTCGCTCCCCTCGATTTTTTCATTAAGTTGAACAATCTTCGCCGTTAGCCTGAGCTAAATGTGGTAGTTTGTTATCTCCATTGCCAACTAATGTTGGTTTTCCGGTAGTATATGTTTCTCCCGGTTGCAAATAGCATTCGGCTTGTTTATCTGTGCGGATTCTATTATTTAAGCCCGCAGTCTTGTTGTTCGGGTTAAAGTTATCAATTAGTAATATTATGTTTCAAATGTATTACAAGTGCTTTGAGTACCAAATATAGTAGTTCTCTTTGCAGAATTTATTTCAAAGTTTCCATAACCAAAAGTTATAGAACAACAGTTATTTGAAAGCTCTTGAAAATAAATTGACGTGTTAGAGGAAACTAAATTCGGATTTAACAAAACAATTCTTATAAAATATGTATATTTTGAGTATAGTTTCAAAAAAAATATGTCAAATATTATTGAAATTAAAAACGTAAAAAAAATATAGTATTTGTTCAATGGTCACTATTCGTTCGGTAAACTATGAGTTAATAATAATTAAATATTTTAGCTCCACGTTTATGTGGGTCAAAATACACATAAGTAATCTAATATTCTTGTGTTTATTTAATATTGTGTTAATTGCAAATTTCAGGCTATATTTTAAATGAAATTCAACCGCACGATCGCTGCAGACTGTATAACTATCGTTTACACCCTCTAATTTTTATCTGCTATTTGCTCGTGGATTGTGTGCATTGTTATGTGCAAATACACCCACACAAACAGTGGTTTACTCTCGACTGATCGTTTTGCTTGCACGACAAACATCGTATAGTGAATTTTCTCCGAGACCGAGTTTACCTATGACTTTCGGTTTGAACCGTTAAATTTTCCACCAGACATACACCTTTTATATTGTGCTCAGTCGTCTTTTTTTTCGGATGGCATTTTATTTTAACAAATTCGTCACCATTTCCGCCGTCACGTTGTGTAAATAATAATATACGGTTACCAGATAAAGTATAGAAATCTCCGGATTACCGTTAACTGATTGCGCAAGTAAATCAAAGAACACATTTCAGTGAAGTGTACGAAAATGCTTCGTTTTAAACGAGTCGTTTGCGAATATATTTTAGTTTGTCATTGACAATAAGTATTACCGTCGAGTGACATGTCAGTTTATAGGAACATTTTGTAGAATATAGAATAATTAGCTTACATAATTTACTTATAAGAACATTTCCCTTATTTTTACATTTTAGAGAGTCTTAAACATAAAAATGACCTGTATTTATCATATAATATGTATGCAGTACATTTTTTTCTTTAAAAATACATTTATAAACTATTGAGCACTAAGCACTTTAACTTCTAATAGTATGATCCTTAGCTTCTTACCTATATTTGTCTCTGCACAATTATTATTAAACAAATTTTCGCCAGCAGAGCCTGGAAAACCTAATAATATCAAAAGGAAAATTTTAAGCATTACATATTTAACGGTTTTGAGTTAATATTCGTATACATTATGTAGGCTATTTGGAAAATATATCTAACCTGGACATTTTCTGTTGGAATGTCAATATTATATTAAATTATATGTCATGCAGCCAAATACTATAAATGTATTATACATCCGGTTTATTATCTATAATATATATTATGTAGTTATTAGAGTTAAAATTAATTTGAATTCCATACCAAAGAAGTATTACGGTTGTAATGATTTATGAAGATTAAGTTTACTTAAATGAGAACCATTAAACAATTATTGTAATGCTTTCTCGAAGGAATTATTAATAAAGTGATACATTTGCGTTTGCATTACATTTCACCGATTTCATGTTTATTTTAATAACCAACAAAGCTCATGAAATTTTGAACATTTTTTTTTTAAATTGCCTTTGTCTCTGCGATATATTTATATTTAGAGTAGTTACTACTGGTATGATCTTTGAGTATTTTTATCCCTAATAGGCTAATATGAACAACTATAAATGCATATTCTTATAGGAAAATTCTCAAATAAGTTAACTATCCGAAAATGAATAAAAACTTTGAATTTATTTTATAATAATTAATTGTCTTAATAAATAACCTTCCGCGAAGATAATTGGCATAGTACTTTTCGAAAATTCCAACCCTAAGGATGGCCGTGGTTACCATGGTTACAAGCAAAATATTTCGTATTTAAAGTAGAAAAAAAAACGATAATTAATAAATAAATGTGTAGTAGTAATATACAATAATGTGTTTAAATAACATAAAATCAACAAATTTCAAATAACCTTCGGTCATTCGGTCGGACGAGTGAAACCATCAGAGTGCCTACGTTGCGCGGTACAGAACCGAAGGAGAATTTTTTTTTTTGCATTTTTTTACCTTTTTTTTTTGAAATTTCTTAACGGCTACTCGTACTGCAAATATTTCACATATGAAACCAGACTTTTACACTGTTCTGTAGCGGTTTTATACAGTAACCTGAGTGGTAATTTGTATTTTCTTAATTATTTTTGAGACTTCTTAACGGGTACAATAGTTTAACGTCACAAAGCCAATAAATAACTATAACATACAGTTTCGTAAGTTGGGCCGAATTTTGGGGGCTGCAAAAGTATATTTCTTCTTCTTCTTTATCTTCGCCTTACACTCCCAACTACATGGGGTCGGCCACCCTAGTCCTACACCTCCATAGAGCTCAAATGGAGCTCTATATGCTCTCATATGGGCTGCAAAAGTATATTCAAATTATAATATTTAATTAACCTAGGTAGGTACTTAAATACAAATTTATGTGTCAACAGACTTCTTATATTTAATAAAAATAAAAATTTGTTTTGATTGAACCAGAAAAATGCGTAAATAGTACCTGCATGCTTGTCAAGCGCATACACAATCTTTTGCACATGCATACTGGATATGATGATTTTGTGTAAGCATTGCAAGGCTCGAAGCTTGGTTAAATTTTCATCTTCGTGCTTGTAGGTAGTATCAAAGTACCATTGTTCGTGATATTACGCCATCAAAGTCAAGTCTTAATCGGCCCTAAAGAATTTCGCGTAGGGACTAAGCGTTTCTCTTATTTTTATTATAAACATCGATTAAACATGTATACAATATTTATCAAAACGTTTATGTACAGTATAAAAAATTTACTAATCGTTTCATTTTCTCATCGATTGATATGACAAAATAAATTGTTTATGTGCTGAGTGAATCAAAATCAAACTTAAAAAAAATATAATAATAATTTTATAAAGTATTTTTGTTTTACGCCTCACTTGTTGATTCCGAAAGCACATTTTGTATAAATTTATAATACCTATTCCCAAGATTAATAAACAAGACAAATGAACCACCGTCAAATATTAAATATGCATACGTGATGCGGAAAGCGAAAAAAGAACTCCTGTCAGCAAAGTTAATTTCGAAAAAAACGCCATAACGTCGATTAAGGTCGGAAGAATCCATTTCTTACTAAGTATCATTAATTGTACCTTGGAGTCTTTAGGATTAGGATATATGTGTACATAAAAACAACAAACCAAATTGTGAATAATAGCTGAAATTATTAAAAATACATTTTGGGTAAGAGATACAAAGTGCAATAACAGTAACTCGACTTTGGAAAATGCCGAAGGAGGCCCTTTTTTGCTCTCTGCATCACTTACTTATGTTGTCTAGGCATTTTTGTTGTCATTTAAATTGACGAGCTATTCGGGTTTGCATACATTATTTTATATTTGAGCAACATTAGAATCTAAAAAAAAACTATTGAAAACCACTAATCACATAACATTCTACCATTGTATTTTTGATCTAGTTGCTTGTTATGTTTGCAATGAAAATGTGACCTATATAACATACTTGTCAAATAAAGGGTCCGGCTGGTAAGCTTTCACTTTAATCCAAATGGGAAACGACAGTTGCAAATTGCGGAAAAGATATTATTAATATTATTTATTTCATAATCCCCCTTAAACATCATGGCCCCCGTTGAACACTGTGGACTAAAGAGTTGGCAAAATTCAAATTTGAATAATAAAACCCTTGTTAGTAATGTGATTCACTATAATATGAAATTAAGCACGTTATAACTTTTTGTTAGAAACCTCGACGACGAGGTTCTATTATTATAATTTACTTAGTTAAAAATACATACATAAAAAAAAATTAAACACATGCTATTCAGAAGTCTACATTGTAACACAAGATAGACAATATAATACTACAGATTCGAGTGGTCGAGATGAGAAAACGAGTACTTATTTATTATAATTAAATTAGTTGCGACTTGTGAAGTCATTTCGTTATAATTATGTAGTGGTTAGTACCCGTAAAAGCTCTAAAGAATAATTTTTTACCGGTAATTCTAAGGTTTAATTATAAACTTTCTTCTATGTTATGTTTTAGAATTCTTTTAAGAAAATAAATTGTAATTATTATTATTTTTTTTAATGTTTTTGTTATTTCCAGTTTCATAAACTTCTCATTTGACTAATTAATATTTTCTGTAATCTTTCCAGGAAAACACAAACAATTTAATAAAATCATGACGAACACATTAATAATTGTCCATAAAATGATTTATACTTATAATTAATATTTTTTGCATCAACAACTTCATATCAAATCATTTATTTGAAGACTATTTTATCATTTTCAGTTGTATATATGTGTACTCGTTATAAATAATAATTCTTGAAAATATTTTGCGCAGTTTTTACAATCTGCAGTTTCTCATCGAGGCGTTTATTGAAAAATAATTTTATGACCCGGTAATAATTATTTACATAAAAACTCGTGACCTCGCTATTGTTTGTGACAATAGGCTGGATCAATCTAGTTTTCCTACTTGAAGTAGTACTTTAAAATTTAAGATAGTACAAAACGTTGATTACTCCACAATCATACGGTGTTGACACTAAATTCGACTTTTTTTCCTTATTCTACCCTGAGATCGGTTCGATAACTCTTGTTTTGTTTTATATTTTTTTAACAAGCGGTAGATTCCAAGGAAGGGGATGTTGGTTTTGTTGTGTTTTTTAAGCGATTTAACATGGTTTTAACGAACATAGATTATGAATATAAATCAATACTGTTAGATTCCCTCCCCCCCCCCCCCCCCCCGAAGTAGGAAATACTAGAAATAACCCGATGTGCTTTTTCGTGCGCAGGAGAGGCGAAAAGACTTGACGGATTACCGGGACGAGTCCACGTTCAGTTTCGACCCGAGCCGCATACCCGTGAAACAGCTGCAAGAGAAAGAAAACCGACCGCCAAAGAAGTTGGACGGTAGGAAAACGCTATTGTTGTCGTCGGTGACGCGAAAACGGAAGAAGTCGCGTAGGCGGCGACCTACTCAGAACCAGCGGCAAAGAGGGCAACCGGACGCTAATCAGAGCAACAACTCCGCGACGGCTACCGGCGACACGAATTCTGCAGAAGACGACGACGAAGACGGTGACGACTACTTGGGCAGTCGGTCGTCGACTCCGAGTCCAAATCGTCGGGTCCAGCCTTCGGATCGACCGGTGACGCCGTCCCCTAAACCGGTTTCAACTCCTCCGCCCCAGCCGGAGCCGCCACCCACAGTTAATCCGGCTAAATTGGCTGTGGACACACTTAGGCCCTGCGCCCTAGTAGCACCCCAAGGTATACGGTTTTATAAATATATATTTTTTTTTTACATCATTAAAATACTGTAAAAACAGACGAGCCGGATTTACGGGCCGGCGTTAAGCGTGCTAGTGTGTGCGGAAAATTTGAATAAGTGGATTGCGAGGAAAATGGAAACGTCCAAAATGAGAACGTTAAGACGACTGTGAGGAGTGTACGGTTTGGGTGTGGCGTACCTAACGCGGAACTTACAACTTGGTAAAAAAGTCACGTAGAAACGGATAAAGTATTATTCAAAGGGGGAACCTGGTTTACAAAGCTGAAAAGAGGTAAATTTTGAAAATTACATTTTGTACGAAATATTTATGTACTCTGTATTTTTTAAATTTAAAGTATTCATACAGATGTAAGTAAAAAAAGATTTTGAAAAATAACTATTTTCGCTGTGGTTGTAATTATGTTAGCATTATTGCTCCATCGTCTGATTTGCGGGCATTCGATTTGTCATTGATTTTTTTACCTTGTGTAATTTATTCCATAAAACATATTTTATTAGGTAAACTAAAAATGTAGACATAACCTATAAAACGTTAACGATGATGATTTTTGTTAAAAGCGTAACAAACAGTAATAACAGTAATCAATTTTAGTTATTCTAATGCAAATTTGTACGCGTTTTTGTATAAATTATAATAATATGATTAAACCAAGCAAAACCAACAATAAAAAATGTCTGATAAATAATAAATAAATCAATTATACTGATAATTTACCATGTATCGTCATGACACATTAACTGTACACAAATTGACCATGAAAATTGTATTTTACGATTGCACGTTTAAAATCGAAGTCCTAATTACAATTTATTTTTATTTTATTATCTGAGGATTGATTTTTATATGATATCTTCTCGATGTTATGACACACATTTATTTCAATTTTTGGAAAGTCGATTTTAATAGTTTAACAACAATTATTCTGTGTAGCCGACTACACCTTTTTAGTGTTGGTTCTATTCATCTTTTATCGATACCACAGCAACAATGGTGGGTCTGATAAAAGTTTGAATGAATTCACGTCGAACAAGACGTCATGATTCTTCGTCTAGATTAAAATGATTACCTTTTGAAGACAAACTTTTCAAAAGAACTTTACACCGCTCAGACTATATGTTTAACACATACATTGGGAAACGATCAAATATGTTTAAAAGTGTAAAAGTTTACAAAAGTACATATAGGTACTGTTACTGTCCAACAAAAATTACTCTCTATTATATGATATCGATTATTGAATTCTCGAACGATACTAAGCTAATGTAAATGTTAAATTCGTACACATATATTTAGAAATTAACGTGTTTCAAGTTTTTTATTTAATATTGAAACAATTCGTTTTATTCGAATAAATAAATTTATAAAATATAATTTTTAATTTATTATTTGATACTCGCCATTAAAAATTACGCAAGTCAATTAAAAATTACTTTATCAAAAAATTAAAATAGTAACGATAATTGTTTTCACATTTTTCACTGTTCAAGACATTTTAACAGCCTTTTTAGAATAATTGAAAAATATAAATACGGTTTTTACACTCCTATAGGATGTACATATAAGTGTATGACTTAACGGTGACTTATATTTACAAATCACCTGTACATACATTAGGTCTGTTTAAGCTTCTGTGGCGTATGGCTTTTACGTTGACATTCAAACAAGACTTTATACCTGTCTTCTGTATGTCTTCTATATGATCTTATTGGTACTATACATTGTATTGGTTATCGTCTTACCGGGTTTTGTGATTTCAGGCAGGGAAAGATGGCTTTTGGGTAGCAGACAAGGCAGCGCTAATACCAGCGAGGGGTACAACAGGGATTCGTCGCTGGACGACTCCGGCGTGGTGGATGATCACGAAGACGGGGAAGTAACCTCGCTATCGCATTCTCATCACACTTCGCCACAGCCACAGCAATGCGGATACCATCAGTTACCCCAGGTAACCACCCCGATGGAAGTAATTAAAAATGACACGGGAATTAATTAATGTTGTCTTTTGCGTTCGATGTCTCCGGGCAACATGAGGGGTGGGGGGGGGACATCGACATCCAAAGCGGATTTTCTTGTAACTTAACAAAACAATGTGATGCCGTTACTCGATGACACGCGCCCGAAATATCCGTGAAAAGTTTCTTACAAAATATTCGAACGAAATGGCGTTTTGCCGGCGACAGACGTTTTAAGTGTAAACGTTCAATCGATAAACGAAATAATTTCCATCCGATCAAAATATAAGACAATACGAAATATTCTCCCACACAACTAACAGCGGAATGCATTATCTGTAGACAAAAACACTGTAAAATGCTTCCCCGGATAGCGATTTTGATAGCAGTGTTGAGAATTTTTCTCCATATTTGGGCTTAGACGGTTTTATTGGATTGGACACGTTTTTGGTTTACAGCCGACTGCCGACAACCTAACGCTTACCAAACTTGTTTGGCACTCAAAAATGTCAAAAATTGGCTTCATTCCCTACATTTTCATAAAATTGATCGTGATTAAATAATATTATATATTATATAATTTTTATTTGAAGACTGTTGATTAAGTTTATTGTGATTAAAAAGTAATCATTAGTCCTACATAAGTAACTAGGTAGTTTAATCATTTATATAATTGAAGTACCGTTAATTAAATTTACTTTACTCATCATTCATTCATACTTTTTTTAGTTTTAATCAGACTATTTAATTAGTTGATTAAAAATTTGCCCAACGATGAATTTTATAGTAGTACTAATTACATTCATCAGGTGGTAGCCGTCGGTGTGAATGCCCGTGTGGCGACACTTGTATGGGTGTGGGGGAAAGTCCCAGTTGAATTTAACATACTCCACAGAGTCGTGTTATCATTTTTAAGAGGCATCTTTGCCGCTAATTATTGTTTGCCATTATAATTGTATAAAAACCTATGGTTGTGTGTGTGTGTGTATTGCTTGTGCAGACCGGCGGCAGCGACGATGGTGGTAGTTTAGCCGCATCCAAGAACATTAAGGTGATCAAATGCAATGGCCTGAAAACGAAGCCGTTTGGTCGGAAAGGCGAACCCGAGTACGTGTCTCAGGTGGTGGTTATCGGTATGTGTACATTAATAACAGTATTATAAACCCTCTCCTCCTACGCCTTGTCTCCTATGACCGCTTTTGCTAAAACCGCGCAAAATAATAGCCCGTAAGTACCATACATAGTGGTACTTACCTATAGAGTAGCGCAGTTCTCTATGTGTTCTCTCTCTCTCACTCTGCCTTTGGTTATCAGCGACAATATTATAATATATCCTATTGGCTGGCCGCGTAGCACACCTAAACTTGTGTAATTGCTATTGTATATTATGTTAGATACATATAAATATTGTCCTCGGTACAATAAGATTACTTGTACAACAATAACGGCTGACCGAACCACAAACGCACTGTTATTAATAATCGATATTGTGTAATAATTCTTTGGTGGAAAATTATAGTAATATATATGTGTATATTACAATATGTTGCGCGCGACAGCCCATATACAATTCATATTATTCTTAAAATAATCGGTGCACTTATTTTTATTTATCTGTTATTGCGTTAGTTATAATTTATAATGTATATACAACTATTATATATCGATTGGAGCAAACACGCAAACCCTTCGTCCTATCTTTGCGTGTCGACTTCCGCCTGTTATCGGAAAGACCGAACTTTTACTAAACAAATAAATGTTCCAATACATCATCTGTTTACCGTACTATAAATATATATATATATATTTATATACTTCATGATATTGTGTCCTCTACCATCGCGGTAATCGCTTTTTGGCTAAACGCAATCGCTGTTAAAGTAGTTATCGCTATTCAACACTCGTCCATACTTCCGCGTATAATGTCTTGGATCTTCAATGTCTTTTGATCGATTACTGTTTTTGAATAAATTAATTATAGCGGCTATTCACTACTTATAATACGACACGTTCGTTACAAATATCCTCTTTGGACGTTCATGGGAAAACGAATCAAAGTAATAAAAGTATGTTTGACGCGTTTCCAACTATTATGACAAGCAGTTAAATTACTGTTTTTTTTTTTATTGGCTATTATATGAATAAAAATTATCGCTAACGTTTAATAGTTTTATAGGGTAATAATTTATAACATGACACGTTACGTGACATATACATTTTACAGGTCCATAAAACTAGAGATAATAATCCGAACACTGTCATAAAGTACAAAAAAAAATTATACATTTGACAATTTTAAATATATTGAACTGATTTCTTGCCCTTGAAAACTTTAAGACTTTCAAAAAGTAAAATTTGTATGTTGTTTTTATATTTTATCAAAATTGCAGTTGTTGACCAAATATGATGCAATCTTTAGTGCAATAGCCAGAGTTGTATACAATGTAGAGTACGGTTGAGGTTTAGTTAAAAAAAAAATGTAGATAGTAGCCGGCAAGAAAGTCTATTCGTCATATGTTGTATACAATTCTATCGTCGTTATCTACGGTTGTAAAAAGTATGAAGTCGTTATAAGATCACAAGATTTTATCCACTATGTATAGCTAGCAGAATGTAGTTGATACAAATTTTATGGCGTAAACTATGTGCGATTGCAGTTATTCCAAATTTTAACGGTAGAGACTTAAACTGTATAAAAAATAGCAACATAATATTATGTTTTTTTTATTTCGTTAACATTTTGATGATAGGTCATGCATGATTATCACTATTTCATTAATAACTATATGAATAGGCAACACGTGGAAACAGTGTCGCTGGCGTAGCACTATTGCCTATGCAGAATGCCGTTGGGTTTTTGATGATAATTTATTTAATTAAACTATGTTCGATGAGAAGCTAAAAAACTGTTCCAATAATGTGTTTTATTATTTTTTTTACAAGTTTTTAACCAATAGACTGATTTTTTTCATGAAACAAATCTAGTAAATAGATCAGATATCGTATATAAGCTATTTAACGTATATCATGTTATTTTTCAGTATAATTTTCTTTTCTTTCAAAATTTTTGTTTGTTAATTTACAATTTTAAAAACTTACAAATTAACTATGTCCTTATGTCTTTCAAAATCACATTTTAGAGAAGTCGGTATACACTTGCAGTTACTGGCGGTATAGGTGAACCTAAAATCGTATCGATCTGATGTAATCACTCCCAAGCCGGTACTTGTTTTTCTTGTACCTTTGTACGGCAATAACCAGATGTTTGTTTTAAATTTAAATTTCAACTCTGGTTGTACTAAGGATACGACTTCGGAAGACCTTTTGCCTCTGAAATTTTAGATGCCGTTAATAATCTTTGGATTTAACCCGCATTAATCCAATTGGTTCGCTACGAATAGCAATTTGCTCGAATTCTAGTAACAAGGTTACACTGGAAAATATAAACAACCAGGAATTATGATTTGGGTTGAACAATTTAAAGTGGTTCGAAACGCTTTATAGGTAGCTATACAACAGTTGTACTAACAAATATTAATGAACGTAGGTCCGTATAGAATAATTGTGTAATAATTTACTTACGAAGTAGTTACATATTAGCACAATATAAAATAACTACCAACGAACCGATAATATATTGCTGTAAGGAATTTTTATGGTCTTATATTTTCTATACTTAATATACATTTTAGCAGTGTGCAGCGAAATGAAATATAATAATTTATGATATTATATTAGATTGACAAAACAATATTATATTTTCTTATTTAAATCAGTTTTAAATTAAAAAAAAGAAAAGAATAGCACCATTAACCGTCACTGTTCTTAAAAATAATTTACTTTCCACACAAATCAGAAAAGTTTTTGCTGTCTTCAACTCTAATCCGGGGTTTAAATTATAATTATGAAGTAATAAATGTTATGCTTAATAAACACATATAACGTTCAAACTTTAGGAAGGTTTTTGCTTTATCGATGATATGCTTTACTCGAGTATACTTCACATCCGTGAATGCGATTTAACTATAAAGTAAGGTTATATACCATAAGTTTGATTTAATTTTTGTGAAATTTGTGAAATTGTATTAAACGCGCGTAACACTGACTCATATAAATTAATAAGTGTAATATAAGTGTGTATATTTGTTTTATTTATCAATGCAATTCTCCAAAGTATTTTTTAAAATTGTTTTTATTGATATTTACATATTTAAATAGACGATTCGGTCGACCGGTGCTGTCCGAATTTCAACATAAATTATTGTGTCGACTACCAGACTTGGTCGCAAGTTCAAAACTGTCTGTACAAGGTTGTCAGGGATCCGTTATTCGAGTTGTTCATAATGGCTTGTATTATATGCAACACTATAGTTTTGGCCACCGAACATCACGGCATGTCAGAAAACGTTGCCAATATCTTAGATGTCGGAAACAAGGTAATATATTTTCATTGAACATATAATTTTAAAAAAGTTGTTTTATTATAACTCATTTAAAAACGCTATAGAATATGGTCGTATTAAAAAATTGAACTTTTAAATAAAACGATTTATTTATATTATTTATCGGAATTGCTTGGTTAAGAAATCATTAAGCAAAATATTTATAACTTATCTATTTCTGTTAATAAATAATTTTAATAAAAAAATATTCGAATATAGCCGAACTACGAATTTGTATGCCTCTACAACAATAATAATTATTGGTATAATATTAAACAAATATTTAAAAAATAATTTGGTTTTTTTTTTTAGGTTTTTACTGCTATATTTACCGTCGAATGTCTGTTCAAGTTGATTGCTCTGAGCAACGAATTCTTCAATTGTGGTTGGAATATATTCGATATGATCATAGTGACGGCGAGTCTGCTGGATCTATCGTTCGAAATGATCGACGGTCTCTCAGTTCTACGTTGTTTGAGACTGGTAAGTGGCAATTCGTTTTAATTAAAATTAAGTAAAATGCTATACAATAAAATAGAAATACAATTTTATTTAGTTAAAATCCGTTTATTTCGGATAAATCATTTGTGACCGGGAGTTGTACTGAATAATTATTTTCAACTATATTATGTATTTGGATTTTATTTTTTGCAAAAAAACCCTCGTTTATTTTTATTTAAGGGATTATTGTATTATATGTGTGTGTGATTTACCTTTAAAAAAAAATATCTACCCATTTATGCCAGCAAATTCACAGTAACACGACGAGTGTTTGAAAAAAAAATGCGTTTATTATAATACTATCGCGAATGTATTTCAAATGTTTTGTATTATTTAATTTATATTACATTGATGATCTCTTGCTCAAGTTGTGTTTTTTGTAGTTTCAACTTTGGAAATAATTGTTTAGAGAATTTCGGATGTACTTTCAAGTGAACCGCACACATTCCTGCCAAAAAAATTCTCTCGACGACACGTTACTAGTCTTATTTTGCGTTTACATTTATACATTTACATTTATATAATTATTTTTTTGAAAAAATCTCATCGAGGGAACACAGTAATAGAATTGATGATCTCTCTTTTTTGGTGTCAAAATCATCATTTCAATCAAATCAAAGAAGCCGTATACCGTTTGACGATGTCCTTTCGTCCTAAGCTATTATGTTTTTGTCTGACGGTCAGAAGAGGTGGTATGACTGTTTCTCACATTGTTTCCCCTCGAATCCTCCTCTCTCTCTCATTTAAGTGACCGTATGTACATTTATTACACTGCGATTACAATGTCGAAACCAACTGCACTGGTATCGCATGTCTAAGACCCATATGTGTTACACCGTTGTTACGATAGCCGCGTATTGGACGGCCATTGGGCGTTAAGGCGTGTAATAAACTGCATAGCTGTTTTCCGCGTAGCACTAAGGCGTTAGGCCGGTTATATTATGCAAAGTGCTCGGTTAAAATATGCTAGACCTCTAACGGGGTGGCAGGTTAAGAACCATTAAACATCAGCCCTCCGTACCGCGTTATGGATATCGTTCCGTGTTCGCAGGCCGGGTCGGGTTGAGACCTATGCGAATTTTTGGCGCCCCCGTGTACTTTTTGTTTTTTTGACTTTTATTACCTAGTCTAATATGTTTTGTGCGCAATTGCAGTGTTAGTGTTATGTAGGTTTATGTCCGAATCGACGGAGTGCACACTTGAACGGGGTAAAATATATAATATTACATTCAACAGGAATTTTGATATTGTAAACATGACTTGTACCGTGTTATTAAATTAGAACCGACTGAAATGAAGGAAATGTCTGTTATTGTACCAACTCTTCCCCCTTACCCGCCGTTGTTTACTTTCGACTATTCCATAACTTGATTAACAGAGATATATCATACACAACCGTCAACCGCAAGGAAGAGCTCATATTTTGTTTAGTGAGACACGCAGCTAACAGTTTATGTAATATATGCATTTAAAACGTTGGAAAATATTATTCGAGGAATATAGGGCTGAACGACTGCGACGCCTCTCCTTCGCTCTGAAATCCAACATTTTATCCCAACACTTTACACAAAAGGCTTTTACTGTTTACAAACCATTCGAAGTTTTACTATAGAAATTATTATAGGTTAAAAATAAAATGTATAATATTTTAACACGATTTGTGTGTTTTTTAACGTGAAGAGAAATTATTGATGTTGAGTAATTATTATCATAGAGTATGTTTTGCGATTGCACCTTTCAAAAAAATCGTCACGTAAGACAAACCCAGGTAACAAAAAAAATTGAGATCAATGATAAACAAGGCTAATATTTGAAAAAGCTATGCATTCATTTAGATAGTAAGAACTATTAGGGATAGCAAAATATTCGGATCAGGTGTTTAGAATTGACACGATAACCATCAAAATTAACATTTAAACATTACCCTAATAAGAGCCACCCTAATGGAATATATGCAAATTAAGGGGTGTTTTATCCTCTCCCCTCGTCACATTGGCCAGCATAATCTAATTATAATGTGAACTTATAAATCGCCTAGTATTATTATAAATGGACTTTGACTAGTAAAACTATGTATTACATAAGTCGATACCGAAACAGCTCTGGGACATTTCCACTATATTATATCAGTCGGTATGGAACATTAACTCGGTGCTCGTCTGAACTAAATGAGCCGTGACCACCATCTGACCGCGTCTTAGCTGTAGCGGATGTATTATAATGTTTGGGTGATCGACACACGGTTGTTGTTGTTGTTGTTGTAGCTGAGAGTGCTAAAGCTGGCCCAGTCTTGGACCACGATGAAAGTGTTGCTGAGCATCATCATATCGACCATAGGAGCGCTGGGCAACCTCACGTTCGTGCTGATCATTATTATATACATATTCGCCGTCATTGGCATGCAACTGTTCTCAAAGGAATATACGCCCGAAAAGTTCTACCCCGATCCCGTTCCCAGGTAATAATAATAATAATAATAATAACGATATACAAAGTTTTGCGGTAGTAATATTGAGTGTATATATATATATATATTTATTAAGTTTTAAGTTTTACTTTAAAACGCCAAACGGCGATATATCATAACTTTTACTACGTACATAGCGGTTGCCTTATTAAGCGTGAACATCAGCCATTATTACGGCCGATTACATAAACGCGGTAAATCAATTCACGATTAATATATTTTCACAGCCAATTGAACAATTTAATTTCAACTGAGACATAACGTTTATAAGAAAGCTATTAAAAGCATTGCGACCGTTCTGGTTAAAATTATCGAATTTTCTAATGCATTTTTACGCTTTGGTAAATTAATTTTACCACTAACAACCCGCCCTCCGCTCCGGACCTTTCAACTAAAAGGGAAAACCCTGTACATTTTAAATTTATTGCTTGTAACGTGGGTTCACTACGTGACAATATTACTGTTATTACAACATTTTGTAATTACAACCCAGATATAGATAGGTAAAGTTAAAATAAAAAAAAATATATATATATTAAACCCAGAGAGTTTGTTACACATTAAAACGTCAGAATTATGTATAGTAAAGCACTTATAATGGATTGCTGAATTAATCTTATACTAAAATAAATCGACGCAATTAAACGAGATTGCATTATTTTCCAATTTGTCTCAAAATCGTACAATCCTACTAGAAAATACATGCTCACCAAGGTGTGTTCTTAATATAGGTTTTTCAATTGCATTTAAGTTGTCTATAGCCTACTTGACAAATCGAGTGAAATTAAAATATTTCATAAAGTTCTCCAAACATTCAAATTAGCTTGACTGCAATACAGTTTTAAGCAGAGACTCGGAACGCGTTCTGGGTAAAATTCTCTATTTTTTTCTTCAACCAAAAAAATGTATAGTTCAAGCGGTGGTTAAAATATTAAAAATAAATTATATTTTACATAATTAATCTGTTTGGAATTTTTTCTAGAAAAATAATGTTCCTAGTCAAAACGTACCGGATAGGATAATTCGATAAAAAAATAGCTTGTTTTTTTTTTTTAATATGTTTTATTTTATGGTATAAATTATATTACGTACCTGTATATAGCAAAAAAAAACTCATTTTTTGGCAAGAATGTGTTTGAACCTTTGGTTTAGAAAATTCATAATTTTTATAACGTGTACCGTGTACTTATAAGTTTTGGTCGTCTTTTTAACAGATGGAATTTCTCAGACTTCTTCCATTCGTTTATGATGATTTTCCGGATTTTGTGCGGCGAGTGGATCGAGCCGCTTTGGGACTGTATGAAAGCCGAAGAAGAAGAAGTAAGGGTAAAATGCGCTCTGAGCGTGTATTTTTTGTAACAATTTTTGTACTCCTGACGGTTATTATTATTTTTTGACAATAATTATAACAACGGCGAGTCGTTGTGCTGGGCTAGGGTAGATTGTATAAATATATATAATTATAATGTTTATCGTGAAACGTTTTTTTAAGACCTCGCGTGTTTTCCAGGGGTTCGGTATTTGTTTTGCCGTTTTCTTGCCCGCATTAGTCATGGGCAACTTCATGGTGCTCAATTTGTTTTTGGCCTTGTTGCTGAACAGCTTTAATTCGGAGGAACTGAAATCGAAAAAAGAGGTGAGTCACACGCGTTAAACACACTCGTACCAATTATTATATATATCGTGCTATCATGCTCGTGTAAACAAAAAAAAAAAAAAAAGGCCGGGCGAATATACAATACCGTGTGTATACATTTAGCAAGGTCAACAGGAACTTGACGACGAAGCGGCCCATTACAGGGAGCGGTGGGCTCATCACGCTAGAGTTATCGGTAGTGTTTGCCGCAGGTGTAGAGAAAATCAAAATCTTTCCAAGAGGTCCTCGATAAGTCTGACATATATTCCCAAAGACACGACAGTGTCTCTGATAGACTACGAGGTACACGTGACAATATATACGTTAATTTTGTTTTACTTTTACTTTTTATTTTTGGCTTTTTCAACACTTTGCTCTGCGTACACGCCGTGGCGTCGCGTCGCGTCCTCCCCTAGGCCGTGCCACAATAATCCTTATTGTGAGTTGGGACTTACTTATACAATAAGTATTAGCCAAACCGTTAGCTGCGTTTAACAATTATTATTGTTTTTTGTCGCCTTTGTGGACAACAACTTCAAGTATACAATACACGTTTTCTTTTTTGGAAAAATAAACACATACTCGACACACGCTTTGATTCAATAACTATTGTCGGAGTTGGGCAAACGTTAATTAAATAACGAATAACGTATTAACCGGAAATGAAACGATAATATTTTGTTTGGTAATTATTTTCAAATAACATTATGCGAACACCATTTTTTTCTAATTATACATGTTTTTTTTTCCAATCGAGAATAATGCCCAACTCTGGTTACAATGTTATATAGATTTCTCTAACCTATTCTTTAGCACTTTATGTATTTTACACACGGCGGTTTGTGTATGTATAATGTATATCTTTGAAAAATAACGATTTACAATATTAAAAATATTATATTTTGACACCTTTTTTTTAATGCACGCCGTGTATTGAGTGATGACAATATAGTTTATGGACTTGCCTCGCACAGAAAAATAATAACAATGTACATTAAAAAAAAAAAAAAACCAGGTTCACGTATCTCAAGGCTCGCGTTCATTTATTAATAACACAAGAAATTTACGGCTTGCAGTTTTATGTATACTTGTAAAAAAAAATATATTAATCAATATTTCACTAACTACGGCCTCGTGCGTACATAAAAATGGCGTTAATAATAAAAAAAAATAAAAAATGTTACTACTTATTATATTATTAAACAACGACACGGGTGTTTTTTTTAGTCGTTTCCACATTAAGCTATACAACAGAATTCCTAATTTCCATCAAGCACAGGGGAGCTAAGTTTGTACCTAATCGAGTAAGGCGAAAACGCAGCGACATCGATACCGAATAATAATATGGTAACACTTTGGTAGAAATTCTCGACAAATCGTTATGACCAAGTCGTTCGTTTAAATACACAAAAGCTACGTCGGAACTCTCGGAATATGACTTAAAGCATTAACCGTTTAAGTTCACAAAAAAAAAAAAAAGAAGCATACATCCGTTGGACATCCGTCGGATCCTGTCAGCCGTTATTAAAAAAAACTGTCTTATCTCGGTATATTTTTTTTATGTATTTCTTCATTGCGGATATCCCTGTCGTGTCCAGTGAAAAATTAAATATTTTAAAACGTAAAAAATGACTTCTTTTCATCGAACGTGTTTTGATTTCTTTTTTTGCCATTTTTTATTTTATTTTTATTTTTTTTACATATTATATTTTATATTCGATAATATTTCGCCGTGCGCTATTTTCACGACTATCATAAATCAAATTTAAACCGCGTTAAACTACTACACCGTATAATCTGCAATATTATGTACTCAAGGTTTTCCACATGCGCGCCACGATATTTTCATAGTTTAAAAATGATTTTCTACAATAAAAATAATAAGTACAAAATTTCCCTAAAGTCGTTAAGCTCGTGGTTTATAAAAAAAAAAATTGAAATTCATTTATACTCGAGAATATGTCTTTTATTCGACAACCCTATTGTATATAATATTCTTTAGCTTGGTTTACTTAATATTATAATATTATCTTTTTTTGTAAAAATAGGGCGAATCACATTCATTCGCTGACTACACTTACCGCTGACCGTCTTCATACGAAATACACCTCAATGACTTTGTTAATAATAATATACACCATCTCTTCTCTACTTTTACACAAATTCCCAATTCTAACTACACTTCACACCCTTCTTATTTCGGCTACTTTCCATTTTGTTTAATGTCTTATACCCAAAACCAAATGTTTGTTGTCGGTCTCATTACAGATTTTTAAAAAAAATTCGGATAATTTTGAAAACTAATAGGTTTGTTCGAAATGTCAATAGACTATAAATTATATATATTTTTTTAAACTGTTATCTTAAGCATATTTGCTCTACTTAAAATGGTACTATAGATAATTAGCAAAACTTAATACTATTTAAGAATTTTGAGGAACATAATAGTGTATATGTATTGTTCGTCACGCGATCAATGGCACTTAATTGGAAGCTTGCTAATTGTGTGCTAGCAGCTAGATAGTAAATATTGACTTGGTTAATGAGTTGGCTTTTGTTATTGCCATACACATAATATACTCACGTGAATCCCTATCGGCCAACATATAGAATTTGTTTTTCTCTAAGCGCAATTTACATTATTGATTATTTTACCTACTATTGTATAATCGAAACAATGCAGAAACTGATTCCGGAAACTGCTCTACTTTTTCAGAAATAAAATGTAAGATCTATTTATACCATTCCAAGATAATGATTTAATTCATCTATCAGCTAAACAGACATATTATCAGCGGACTGTCATACAACCAGTCCAATAAATTGTAATTTCAGCAAATTTCAATTGTCTTAGATTTAGGAAAAAAATTCTAAACCAAAATCGTCAAAACTCATTTTTGCTGAAATGAGACTTGAATAGTTTGACCACCTCACCGACGGATTTTTTATTGGTATTATTATTTTTTATTTTAAAAAAATATGAAGAATATAATACCTATTATTAAGAATACGATTACAAAAAATAAAACTTTAGTAAATACAGTATACTTTATTTGCATAAAAACGCTTACAACATAATTAATTTTTACTTAATTTATATTGATTGTTATTTCTATTATCAGTTACCTGTTGATCAAAATTTATTAAGTAATTCATTACGAAATTGTATTAAGGCAATATTTTAAGAACTCAGAACAATCAAAAAGAGTATGTTAACAGTTATGTAACAAGTTTTTGAAGAATTACAAAAATTGATCACTTTGATAACCAAATGGTGTATTTTATATGTTTTACATATAACATATACGCTAATTTTAAATTTTTAAAACATTTAACAATTCTACTTTTTGATCGAAGCCTATTTTAGAATAATTTATGAATACATTTTTTAAATTTATTTTGATTTAGTTATTACTGCAGTTCATGTTTATCATCAATTGTTAGTCTGCGCTTATGACTATACTCTTGTTTTTGTACAAGCATCATAGTTACAGTTATTTTTAACAACAACAAAATTATGTAAGGAACCGACTCTTGTTATCACGCTGCTAAATCACACGACCTTTTTCACAATTTTTGAGGGCACATTTTGCTTATTTTACAACTGTTATATTTTATATAAGCGTTGCAACGATCGATTTAAGGTTTTCGACTAGAAACACCCAAAACACGGGGATCACTATGCATTTATTTTACAGGAGGTCGGCGACAGTTCCAAATTGGAGAGAAGCTTTCAGCGCATCAGGTCTATAATCAGGAAACGCAAACGGCGGCAGTCCAGGACCGAAACCGCTACGTGCGATGCTTCGGACAATTTCAAACTGGAAAATACTGTCAGGCAATTGATGCGAATCAAAAGTGAAAAAGACAACACGGTGAAATCCGAACCGTTGGAAATGGTCAACGACAAATGCACTTGCGAACTTCCAGACAACTGCAGGTAAACTTAATTAACTGAATAATATTACATATAATTTAAATTTGGCCTTTAAATCTCGCGAGGACACACAATATAAGACTACAGAAATTTGTTTGTTTTTTTTATGTACCTAAACATATTTATTTGTGCAGCGAGTACAAGACAGACACCAATCATCCACCGGAAGATGGTGGCCATAATGATGGTGTTTCTTCACTAGTGCTGAACGTTAGCTGCTTGGATCAACAGGAGAGGACAGACCACAAGGCAATTCAAAGGGCCGTGACCGAAGACTCGTCGGATACGGGTAACCTTTTTTTCACAATACCACATTGTATGATACTTGTTTGATGTTTTTAATAAGTTTCAACCATAAGTTATTCATTTTTTACCGAAGGGCTAGAATAATGTATATTATGGCTATTCTATGGCATTGCCCAAACTAAAATCAAAGAGTAGGGGACTGCTACCCTTATAAAAAATTTTGCTTTCAAAAATATGCTTCAAGAAAAGAAAAATATGTACATTTCAAACGAAATGCGTTGCGTATCCCAAATAATAATGTATATATGTGCATGAGTATAGAAACTAATAACTATTGAAAGACCAATCATTTTAAGGAAACATATTTTTTGGACTTAGTTTTTTTTTTCTTATTTGGCTATAGCTATAGCTTGGGGTGGGCAAATAACTTAGTCTATAGGCAGCACCGGAGCGAACATCACGTAGCTATCACGTTACACAGCCCTGAAGATGTAAGATGAAATGCTTCCGAAACGTTGACACGGACATTTTGTAAATATAGGTGTAGCTGTCAACCGTGTAAATATTTCAAAATACAATTTTGTTTAATCTTGTATAAACGCAAAATAAAATGTGTAAATTCCATTTTTACAACTGTTGTGACGATTTCAAAAAGCATGCGTGTTGCAAAACGTTTAAAACCAGATTCGAGTTAGCAAAAAAAGTACATTTATTTTAAATGTTTGCTCCAAACACACGCACAAATTTGAACTAGATGAGCCCAACTAGATGACATATATATATATATACAAACTTTAAGTCCCCTTCGTTGGTTGTGAATAAAAAAAAAAGGACACTAATAGTTATGAACGTCCGTGATACTCACGCCATGTGCCTACTGCGGTAGTTGTATTATTGTCGAGGCGAAAAATTTCCATTGCAAACTTTGGTATTTACAGTCGAGTATACAACCCGAGTACTTGACCGACCTGCGGAATACTAAACTTGTCTAGGGGAAAAAAACGAATGAATTCATCTCACGGCGGATAAATCTGACCGAGAGAGATCAATTGCGCTCTTGGGATTGGCCAGGTACAATTTCTCGGTCGCCACAAAAACGTGTGTCCGAGCTGCACTCTAATGGAAAACCGTCTCTGACTTGCCGGTTGTGTCTCAACAACGGCATACCACTTTGTCGTATCATACTTAGTGTATATAAGCGAACCGACCCAACAGTGGTAGTGATAAATATTTAAGAAGGAAACTGCGAGTCGAGCCCTAAAGTCTATTTCTTTGCCTAAATTGAAATTTCCCGAGTACATCCATAACGATCTCAATCGGATTTCCTTGTCGTTTCTTGGTTGTGTTTTTAAATAACAAAAACAGGAATAATATATCAAATTAAACATCTTAACACTTTGTCCGTTTATTTGAGAACACAATTTTTTTTTTACACTCTATACCCAACGCGTTTACATAACGGTATAATTAATGAGTGTACTTAATAGTGGTTTTACAACATTTTTTTAATACCAGCCGGATATACCGTGAAAAATGTATAAACATTTTTAATAAAGACGGCGATATATTTTATTATGGTGTCTTTGCTTTAATGTCTGGTATACTTTTTCTTATGAATTTTCGTCCTTGATTTATTTTTTAATTAGTGAAATAACATTTTAGTTTATAAGATTAGTTCTAAGTTTCATTTTTCTAACCCAAAATCATCTTTTAAAAATAACAATTTTTTTTTTTACATTAAAACGGTACAGCTCGAATTTTAGTTTAACAATTAGTTTTATGGACACCGTATGAATATTCAACGGGTACCCATTGAATATACGCTTTAACTTCATTTATAAATAATAAATGAATCGCCGTGTGTCTTAACATAGTTATTACTTATTACATTTTTAATTTACGATTAACACGTGGAGACCATTTTATCTGACGTGAAACGAAGCAAAAACTGTAATTTTGCTATTCGGTTAATAGACTTTTAACTTTATTTATGTTATCTATACTCGATGGTAAAATGTTTTTTTTTTTGTTCTATTGTGACATGCACCGTCTCAATAGCATTGGATAAATGCGTTTGTCGTTATTTATCACGGTCTGTAATGTATTGTAAGTACAACATAGGCTGGCCGATTTAAAACTAGTTGACGGTCAATAAAAATTAATAAAAACTCTCAAGATTGATATTTTGGTTAAAACGTAGTATTCGGGTTAAGTTCGAAGAACATTTAGGAAACATTAAAAATAAATTTCCTGTTATGAACATTTACTGATAATTAAACATTTGAACATAATATTAGGAAGGCAAAAAAATGGTCAATTTTTAATTAGAGCAACTAGTGAAAGTATATTTAGTACTATTTAAAATAAAAAATAAAAATGTTCTTTAAAAAATTATTTGTTGAAACGTGGCTTAATTTCAATACGAAAAACTGTCTCCTATTGTAAAGTGTGCCATCTTATAGTGAAAGGTATTTTTAATATTTGATTGTTTCTTTAAAAATCAATTCGTAGGAATTTGGATTTTAGTGTAATTTTGTTTAAATATCTCTGCTTTGTTAAATGCCATCAGGGTTTTTTCAAGGACCTATTACGGCTCAACCAACGCCAGTGTACAGTCGTCAGGCGTCCACTTCCGAAGATCTACTTTACCATCAAATAATGCAAGACGCAATGTGCTATGCTCCCACGTTGACCAGAGATTTGGATTTGCCCATATTGGACGAGACATTTGAACTATCCGAACATTACATGAGTCCGCCGCCCGCTGGCTTACACCGAAGGTCTTACATACTGGCCACGAGACAAGAAAGCAGCAAAGGTAACCGTAAATCGTTTCCTCTAGTGCGTTTTGGAATTGTAATTACTTAAATACAAGTTTGTATTTTGTCGTCTCGCAATACAGACACTGTTGACGAATCGAGTTTCTTGAATGAAAACCAGGACGCCAACGTGCAATTAACAGAGGAAAAACCCAAAAAGAAACCCTGGGTAACTCTGGTGTCGTACGTGGACGAGTTGACGTTGGGCGGGAGAAGAGATTCCAAAGGCCATTTTGTAGACACGGCACCGAGTTTTCCGGGTTTTGGCAGAAACAAGCAATCCAAACAACCTCAAGAATGCTTTCCCTACAGTTGCTATCAAAGGTAACGCGATTAAATTATTATAGTGGAGTCGAATTGAACAACTTAGAACAACTAAAAACTTGAAATTATTAGCAGTCCATAATAAAAATAAAATAATTGTAAATGTACTACTAGTCAAACGGAAAGTATTAAAGTTTTTTTGTCTTCAAATTTTTCTTTGGCAATATGAAAATTTTACTTCGCCTATTATTTGGTCTAAAAGACAAATGATCAAAAATTGACTTAAAAAAATAATTAAAAAAAAAAATCAGGTTTACTCTCTAAAAAAAATAAGTTTTAAGAAACATACATTTTCAATGGATAAACAGTTTAGTACATACATTCAAGAAATCTGTAACTGGAAAATCTGGCTCTGTTTTAACGTCGTCCTAGGTGTCCTATTATACGAATCCACTAAAAACGGGTTTATTGATCTGATCGGCCACTCTTATCTTCGGCACTCGAATCGGTCACCGTTTCTTTTTTCGATCCATTCACACGCATCCGTGTACTTCTAAGTTATAACCGTGGTATACATATACACAACATGACATTTGACTTATTTGATAAATCTCACATTTCGATTTCCAGGACGGGATTGAAACAGGAATGGGTGGAGTCGGTGTTCGGCGAGCGATGGATGGCGTTCCGGCAGAAGACGTTAATCATTGTGGACACTCCCGTGTTCGAATGGTTTATATTGGTATTAATATTCGCCTCGAGCGTGACTTTGTGTTTCGAAGACATTTACTTGGACGACAACAAACCGCTGAAGACCGTCTTGTATTGGACAAACTTCACGTTTTGCGTCATATTCACCATCGAACTCGTGCTGAAATGGATCGCTCTGGGCATTTACAAGTACTTCACAAGTTTCTGGACGGCGTTGGACTTCATCATCGCTATGGTAATGCCGGTACAACCGAGAAAACCTGTCAACTCGTATAAGCTGACCGTCTTACCTCTATTCCGCAGATGTCCATATTCAGCTTGTTGATCGACGAGAACGAAAATCTAAAAGTACTCCGGTCGCTAAGAACACTCCGGGCGTTGAGGCCTTTGCGGGCCATTTCCAGATGGCAAGGCATGCGAGTGAGTAATTTTTTAAACGATAATAATCTTTTTTAGCTGTGCTCAAGATAATTTATTTATTATTTGTACATAAAAAAATATCTCGGGTAATTTCAAATGTATTTCATAAATAAACATTTTTCTTTCAGTGAGATGACGGTTATCCCTTTGACTATCGATATAATTTTTTTTAATTTGTTATTAATATTATTAACGACCGCCATGCTTGACTGGTTATTAGATAGTGGTCAACGCTTTGATGTACGCGATCCCGTCCATTTTCAACGTGTTACTGGTGTGTCTGGTCTTCTGGTTGATATTCTCCATCATGGGCGTTCAGTTTTTCGGCGGCAAGTTTTTCAAGTGCGTCGACGATAGCGGCGAACTGCTGTCGGTCAACGTAAGACTTAGGGCAACTGTTTAACCGTTACACCGTTATTTCGCTAATACACATCAACTATTAATTTCCATTCATTGTAGATTGTCAACAACCGGAGTGACTGTATGATGAACAACTACACTTGGCTAAATTCGAAAATAACGTTCGACAACGTGGGCATAGCGTACTTAGCTCTCTTCCAGGTGGTAAGTTTATTGTTTACTTAGCGTGACTTCGGCCCAATCTCATCTCGTGCAACTAAAGTCACTGACTATGTGAAGCCGGATCGTACAAAATAAAACAACAAATTTATTGGTTCATTAAAATTCAACACACCAATCACGGGTCGCTAATCCAAATTTAAGGAACCAATAAATGTCTTTTGGTATACAAAGGAGTGTAGAATGGACGTAGAAATGATATACGGACAAAGCGCATTGCGCCTCGGTCTGCTGCAAGTATAGGAAACGTCAAATGTGTTTTTGCAGGCCACTTTCGAAGGTTGGATGGAAGTGATGGCTGATGCGGTAGACGCTCGCGGAGTCGACCTACAACCCGAGTACGAGGCCAATTTGTACGCTTACATATACTTTGTAATATTCATAGTGTGTGGAGCGTTTTTCACGTTGAACCTGTTTATCGGAGTTATCATCGACAACTTTAACATGCTAAAAAAGAAGGTGAGCCCTGGTCCGCCCACGCGGGGTTTATTTTTAATTTCGTTTTGTTATGTGTTTAGTACGAAGGAGGTGTGCTGGAAATGTTTCTTACCGAAAGCCAAAAACATTACTACACGGCCATGAAGAAACTCGGCCGGAAAAAACCGCAGAAAGTGATCAAACGTCCTGTCAATCAGTTCATGGCGATTTTTTACGACCTGTCTAACTCAAGAAGGTTCGATTAACACCGACAATGTGGTTGACCAGGGCTCACAGTTTGGTCGTTTTACAGGTTTGAGATAGCGATATTCGTACTGATATTCCTGAACATGCTGACCATGGGCATCGAGCACTTTGACCAACCCGTGTCGGTGCTTTTCATTTTGGAAGTCTGCAACGCGTTTTTTACTACGGTCTTTGGATTAGGTAACAAGCTACTAGAGGCCGACCATCCTCCTTGACATTCGCTATCTATCATCATATCAATAGTGTGCTACATTATAATAGTCAACTACCATATTAAGTGTGTTTTTTTGTTTGTTTGTGTGCTACAGAAGCCTTGGTGAAAATTATCGGACTCCGGTTTCATTACTTCACGGTGCCTTGGAACGTTTTCGATTTTCTCTTGGTGTTGGCGTCCGTCCTCGGCATACTCATGGAAGACATCATGATCGACTTCCCCGTCTCACCGACGCTGTTGAGAGTGGTCCGGGTGTTCAGGATAGGCAGGATACTGCGACTGATTAAGGTGAGAACGGCGCGTTTTGAGTTACTGGTTCTACTAGTTCTATGCAATTGATTTTTAGGCTGCCAAAGGCATAAGGAAGCTATTGTTCGCCCTGATTGTTTCTCTGCCGGCGCTGTTCAACATAGGCGCCTTACTCGGCTTGATCACGTTCATATACGCCATCATAGGCATGTCGGTATTTGGCCACGTGAAAAAACAGAAGGCCATCGATGACATGGTGAACTTCGAGACGTTTGGCAGAAGCATGCAGCTATTGTTCAGGTAAATCCAAGTCTTATCGCGCTTCGGTATTTTTCGCGATTTTATCCTGCGATTGAGTTTACAACAAAAACATGCGTTTTTAATTGTAGGCTCATGACTTCGGCCGGATGGAACGACGTTCTAGAATCTCTGATGGTTCAACCGCCGGATTGCGAGCTGGAAGCACCGGGAATGCCCAACGGAAATTGCGGACATCCGATTTTGGCCATCACTTACTTCACCAGTTTCATTATAATCAGCTACATGATTGTCATCAACATGTACATTGCTATAATATTGGAAAACTTCAACCAGGCGCACCAAGAAGAAGAGATCGGCATCGTCGAAGACGACCTCGAGATGTTCTATATCCGATGGTCCAAGTGAGCGCAGGCCACAGCTAACCCACAGGGTTCAGGCTGAACTTTAGCCTTTAGAAAGAAAGATTGTATTTGTTTTATTTTACCCTCTTCGTTTCAGATTCGACCCGCACGCCACCCAGTTCATTGCTTTCAACCAGATATCGGACTTCATAGCCAGCCTGGACCCTCCTTTAGGCATACCCAAGCCCAACATCGTGGCTCTGGTCAGTTTCAACTTGCCCATTGCCCGCGGCAACAAGATACACTGTTTGGACATACTCCACGCTCTGGTCAAACACGTGCTAGGTCACGTCGAGGAAACGGACGAATTCAAAAAGGTAATCCCTCCGCTGCGATTTGTCGAAATAGGTGATATGCATTATCGGTTTTATCAATTGGCGTTTTAATAATAGCTTCAAGATCAAATGGACGTCAAGTTCAAAAAACAATTCCCCACGCGCAAAGAACTGGAAATCGTGTCGTCGACCCGGCTGTGGAAACGCCAAGACAAGGCCGCCAGACTAATACAGAGGACTTACAGAAATTTCAGAAGGTACAAGCTGTTGCCGAATTTACAATTTTTTAACCGTTTATTTTTATTTTTTTGTCAACAGGAGGAAAAAAGATGCAACTGCAGACTTGTACTCGGATACACAGTCTTCGAGCCCCGGGGGCTGGCAGTCGCGTATCTCGTCGTTCTTGCACGTCAAAGGCAGATCGATAAGCGGAATGGGCGGAGCCGGCGATCGCGGGTCCAGAGCCTCTTCCAGAAAATCGTCCAGAGCTTCCGACGCTTCTGACATATCCGAGCTCGGTGCGTCGGTATGGCTCAATTTGCCCATGTTCTTGTTGAACGGCGCTCAGTCCGAAGGCGCTATCAAGCTCGAGGAGCAATCGCCGAAGAAAAAATCACTGTAAGATTTGTTTTATTATTATTTAAAAACATAAAAACTACGAGCAAGCCAAAACAAAGTAGTTAGAAGTTAGAACTTGAGATCCGATTACAAAGGATCACTCTCTGTATTTTCAGTGATATATCACCTCCCAGACCTTATTTTTTTATAAATATATTATATAATATAATATATTTTTTAAATGATGAAAACGCATCTTGTTAACGTAGACGTTTTGGATGAAATGTTTTATAAAAAATAAACGTACATTTTAATATTATGTTTTTAACCTAACGAACACGTTTTTAAAAAAAAAAGACTTTCCAACTGAACCATGAAAACAACAAACGGTGTAGGCAAGGAAAATATTAAAAAATTGTTCACCTTTTTTGTCCCGGTCATAAAGGCAAAATTTACATAAAGGGGAAAATGGTTTTTTGCATATCATCCTCCAAATTGTTAACACACACGGGTTCAAAATAAGAATTTCTTTAAGAAAAATCGATTTGGTTAACATAACTATGTTATCGAATCAAATAGTTCTACGTTAGATCAAAGTTAAGCTGAAATCTTATATGTATGAACTCTCTTTTCGAACAACATGTGACATGTCTACAACAATAGGTATCCACACCTAATATTCCATAATGAACAACGTTGTTTTTTAAGCCGTTTGTATAGATGTTGACCTCTAAAACTAAATCCATCAGACCCCCAAAACTTTAAGCTCATTATGTCTGTGGTGCAAAGTGTAGGGCAAACGTTCTCGACGTACTTAAATCCTCCTCGGAGCAAAGCCAGTATAATAATACCTAAGGTCCTGTGACTAAATTCCCGAGTGTTATTGAGATTTAGATATAGATTTAGAAACAGTAATGGTTAATTTTTTTTTTTTTGGGTGGGATTTTCAGGACCGAACAAGCGCCGGTACACATCACCATCAGCGAACCGTCGCCCGAATCGAAACCGTCCGTGCTTCCGTTGACGTTGAACGGCCAACGGCTGGAAGAGTCGATTGGCCTGAGGCAACCTCAGACGGCCAACGTGAGCATCACCATAACGGACGCCTCGCCGGACAGTAGCGTTGCCGAGTCCAGGGCTTTGGCCGCTCAGACTACCGCGGCGGCGGCGGCGGCAACGCTACAGCTCACTCCAAGCGCTTGGCTTTCCGGAGGGCGACCGAAGCGAAAATCGTACAGCACAAGGCGCTCGTGCACAGAGCCTCTGAAGGATCGCACAGCTGATGGGACGGTGTCGGTCGCCTGACCCACAACTGGGATGGCTAAAAAGGCAAAGAAATGATTTTCGGTTGACCCACAAAGAAAAAAATGTTTTTAAAAACGCATCCCGAGACTTGAAACCGTTTTTTTTTTTTTTTTACCAAAACGGATATTTTATTATCGTGTCGATTTCCGTTTTGATTGCCTCGATAGCGGGACCAGATAATCGTCAAAATGAGTACATTTACATTTACTACAATAATCAGAGTTGGGCGTTATTTTAATTTTTTTTTTTATTGTTACCTAGATAAAGCGATCAATAAAAAAAGTTATCTTTTATTCGGTTATTTGTGTATTATTCGAATTGTTTGTGACAAAATAATAATTTGTATACGTTATCTTTTATTAAAGATTTTGTGTTTTTTTTTTGTTACTTATAAATTAAAAACTATTTAAGATTGTTTTTTTATTTATTATTGCTCACATTTGTTTTAAATGATTTGAAAATGACCGAGATTTTTTTTATTATGTTATTTAAATTTTGCCCAACTTTGAATATAAACTATGTTTATGAAAATGTCAAATTGACATTATGGTTTCCGTGTTCAGTATATTATTTCGTCAAGACTGTACGCTAAACTTAAAATTGTATTATACTTAATTTCTTCTTTTTAAGGCTTTTCAATGAATGCTTGTTTACATTGTTTTTGAGTAATTACCATTTTATTCGTTGGAAACTCAATTGAATACACACCAAAGAAACTTATTCATTTTTTCGACGTTGACAAAATTATAGTATACTTTAAACGCTTAGGCTATTTGATTATCGTTATTTTACCAGACTCTTATTAAACACGTCGTATTTAACACATTTGTATGATTGTTATGGTCCAATTTAAATCGATCTTATTATTCACAACCGAAAGGATTGAACTCAAAGCCAGTGAATAATTTTGCTTGTATTAGTCATTATGAAAAAAAAAACGGTTTCATATAAGTCGGTTGGGTGTTTTTTTTTTAAAGGGGAGGAAATAAGCAACTTCCTAGCCGTCATTTTAGTTAGAACAAGATTTTGCGGAATTAATAAGTATTGAAATCGTATATGCTCGGTTCAAATGTCGTGTACCGCGTTGGACTGACAACATTTTAAATTTATCTATTTCAAATTTAACGAACTACGGTTTACACTAATAGGTAGCATTTGTTTTCTATTAATATAAATTGTATAATATGATAATTATCAATCGCGTGACATATAATTATTTTTTATGCATTTTTTAAAACAGACAATAATAATACTTAGCGTACGCTGTTGATGAACATGTATAATAATTATTATAATATTGTGTATTAATAAGGGATTCCGTTATATTTTCCTCAGTATTTTAACGGTTTTAGAACTAGTATTAATGATTTCATTATACATTCGTCAACGAAGGCGATTAATTATTCGTATAAAACGACTTTTGGATTTTTATAATTTATCTAAGTTTTTTCAAATAGAATATAAATTCGGAAACCGACTGAAATTTACAATAGTAGATAAATAGTGCTTCTACTAAATATAATGTATATTCTAAAACCAGCGATTATAAAAAAAAAATTAATAATAAGTACCAGATAACTATAATAACCGTGTCAGAAGTAGTTTCTTTTTATTCCAACTCTTTCTCTTGGCATACATTCTTTGTAACGAATAAATAATTGTACTATAATATTACTCGGAGTTGGACTAGATTCCAATATTTTTTTTATCTTGGCGAAACGATAAATAAAAAAAAATCATACTAATTTAAATGTTTTTATTCGATTATTTATAACAAAACTGTTGTGCAAAATTATGTTATTGGCGAATAAAAAATTATCTACTATCAATTAAAAATCTCATTTAAATTTTGTCTAACTCTGATGTAACTATTTACAAGAATTACATATCGCAAAAATATGCCTATAACAAAATGATAATATTGTAATTGTTCTTCTTCCTAATTTGTTGACAAGTAGAAAACATTAAGTGTCCGTACTGAATTTTTGTGAGAAACATAATTTAAACATTATAATGACTTTTTAGTTAGAACATTATCAGATCTCAAAAACGAGTATAACAGTAATCTTTGAGGATTATTGTTAATAAACAGTACAATATAATGTTCTTAATATCTAACCATAAAAAGATAAAATAAAATAAATCCATTTTATCCCATTTATTTATTTATTTTTTTTTTTTGAAGCCATAAACAATTTTTATCTTTGATGAATTTGTTAATGTTAAAATATCTGTACGTTATTTATAATCGTCTGTTAATAGTATTAAAACGAAAACAAATATATAAAAAATATTAAATATAATGAATTTTTCAACTTTCATAATATACACTTATAATGAATGTATTAAAGTAATTTTCTTCCTTTTTCCCTGTACTCTTCAATATTATTGTTGTTAGAAAAGAAAATATAATAAAATACATATCCCGCACGATCTTAGGATGTATAATTTATTTCCGTATCGGTTTAGTTCATGGCATATCTTGTAGGCCGTTGTTGAAGTATACTCGCTTGTGTTAGTTAAAAATTTAAGTTAAGTCGTAACTCAATGTTTTGACCAGCGGTGTCTTTGGATACTAAAGGCGGTGGTCAATGCCATAGTCAAAGACAGCCACTGCAAAAATTGCAATGATAATAATAATTACAATAATAATTGTTATTTTGTGTAGAAGTTTGATATTTTTTGTAATTGTTAATTATAATATGTTAATCATTTTTTTTTTTTTTTGTTACGATGTTTGCATTGACTGCAACGCCTTTAACTAGAGCTTCTTAGTATATAATATAAAAATAACACCACAATAATATTGTACTTGTATAGACTTTGACTGCTTAAGGTCTCCTATTTAATTACTACCACTAGTGCCTCGAACTTTTCGATTAGCTGCGACAACGCTCTTTTTTTCACTCACTTTGTGATATATACACTTTTATTATAAATAAAACAACATAATAGTTAGTACTTAATATTCTAACGTTGTTGTACTAATCTGAACGGCAACAATTATATAATATTATTATAATAAATGTAAAAAAGCAACGAGTGCTTACTTAGTTGATTTTACTTAATGATACTTTAATGTTTCATGGCCGTAATAGTAACGGTTTTTTATTGTACCCGTTTACCGTACTTTACCAATTTGTGCACTTTGGGTAAGCTTTAGATGTATTTTTCTTAGTAAACGTATTTTTTACAAAAATATTGTAATTTTCATATTATTATTATTATTATTAATTATTATATAAAATAAGTATTTTGTTGTTAATTATTTTCATTTTTATCAAGATCGTATAAATGTTTATTGAGTATATGTACCTCGATTAAATAAATACAGTAAAAAAACCATAATTGTATGAATCATCATTTGTTTTTTTTTCACGTAGACTTTCATACGATTACAATAGTAAAAATAAATAAAAAAATGTAATAATCATAAATGGAGAAAAATAGTGGTTTTATTTTTTTCAACACATATTCTTAATTTATACACTACTCTTCTATGTAATTTTTTAATAACAATAGGTATGTTAGGGTTTTTTATACCTGATAATTTATTCACTCAATTTCTCTACGTAGGATAGTTTTACAAAAAAATTATTTATATTACTATCGAAAAATTACTTCGTTGATGTTCTCGTACGTTTATTCCAAGAGAAATTAATACCGTAAGACTTGACTTTGGATTTGGTTTTTTGTTCGGCTTCCACATACCATTTCCAACCATTTTTTTCACAGAAGTTTATTGCATCCGCTCTATTGCCAAACTCTAACTTCATGTTGGACAAAGGATCGCCTCTATGTATATAAAAAAAAGATATTTTTTTAATTTTTGATATTGTGCATCAAACGGCAAACTATGATCTACGTACGTGGATGTCCATCCCATCAGGGGATTTTCCCATCGCTCTCTGTTGTCGAATTCCATGACCCAACTGTGGGTGTTGTCCGTTCCTGATTGCATAACATTTTTAGTAGCTTTGCTGATTTTTACTAAACGCGTTTTGACGTGTTCCTCGGGGACACCTGTCACGGCGCTCAAATCTACCTGAAAAAGGTAAATATCGAGATTAATGTGGTATTATTACAAATAAACTACATCAATCAAATGTAATTTCAAACAAAGTTCATGAAATGTCAGGTTCATTACCCGATGTTGGTATGTTGGTGAACCTATAACTAACAGATCAGAATTTTATTTCGTTAGTGTGGTCGAAGCTTTACGATGATCTGCTTTAGCGTGTTATTTTTAGCTTCTATTCTCAACATAAAAAGTTAATGAAATACATATTACACGGTATTTTTACAAGTCAGTTGTCAGGCTTTTGTTAAGTGTTCCTGATAATTTGTATTAAAAACTCGGGTTGCTGTAGCTGAGTAGAACATTATCACAACCAAATTTTATTTAGGGATTTTAGTTTCAAATAAACGTTATTATCAATTAATCCTGTCCAAAACTGTGTATAAAGTATAATTTTAGACTGAAAATATTATTTTTAATTTTTATGTTTTTTGCACAAAAACTGGGACATTGTAATGTTGTGAAGCAATTAAAGTCTAAGTCGTCTAACAATTGTTTTCTTTAACTAGTTGGTTGGTTTTACAAACTTTCTAGGTGGTATATAACAGAGTTGACACATTTTTTTTCCAAAGCAGCTGTGCTTATTTATAATTTCTATTATCTTTTCTCACTACATAAAAATACAATAAATTAAGCAAACGACTTGTGATAACATTCAAAGAGTAATCACTTAAATAATAAGGAATGAAGCGTGTAATCTTAATGTACCATGCTTAGTAAAGCCCTTATAATAACAATGTGAATAAATTATTATACAATACAATACACAGATTGTAAAACCAGTTCTTGGTCTTCCCAAAATCATACACCACGGTCATTATTGACACTTTCTTGAATAGAGTAAATTTATTTGTGCATCACACTAAAAACTAGTGAGTAGGTAAGTAAACATTATCTAAAGTCCACAACAGATTACAAAACCCGTTCTTGGCCTTCCCAAAAGCATACACCACGGTCATTATTGATACTTTCTTGAATAGAGTAAATTTAGTAGTGTATCACACTAAAAACTAGTAAGTAGGTAAGTAGAACAATTTTTTATTTTTATTTTCAAAACTCTAGTAGTTTGAATCAGTAATATTAAAACAATAAATCTCCAACAAAAAAATTTAACCTATATATATAAATTAAATATAGGTTTTTAGGTCTGTTTTAATTTAAGTTTAAGGTGTTTGAATATTTCTAGCCCTCCCTGAAATTATGATAATGGCCAGGTGTCTCACATTACGATTTGTTGAGTTATTCATTTTAAACTACAAATTTATCATTCGAACATTCTTTAAAAATCAAAAGTTTTTTTTTTATTGTTTAATTGAATTTTTTTGTTATTATTCACAATTGCCTGAAGTTTTAAGTGTTATCCTGGCATTGGTATCGATGTTAGCGTTTTGTAAACACTAAACATATATTAGGAACTACTTGTTTGTATAATAGATACTTTTTAAACTCCATCTACCTCTTATCAATATACTATTAAACTAAAATACCCCCCAAAAAAAAAAAAAATTTAAACACCCATTTGTGGGTATAATGACCGCGGCGACCGGTCAGTCTCGTGCGTAGTGTTCATAATTTTTTTCCATTATTTTATAAAATTGACAAAAAAATGTGAACAAGTGTCATTTAAAAAAAAAAACTATTTTAACAGTTATAAAAAGAAACAGTATAATAAGTAGGTACTGGGATTTGTTTAATATTTATAAAATTTTAATAAAATAGACTATTAGTAATCTAAATTTGTAGGATATCACTTATAGATAAAACACTTTTATCTTTGTTACACTACTCTAGTTCATTAAATAATTCACAGAAACAAAAAACAAATATGTAAGCATAACACTAACACGATACCAAACATGTTACAAATCATAACAATACCTTCGACTTGTTAATAATAGCTACATACTTTGCTGTCGACCTCGATATAACCTTGCACGGAGCCTTCGGTGGGCAACTTTCTTATTACGCTATCAGCATTCAACAAAGCTGGTTCTTTTTTGTCATATACAGTTGTTAAACTTTTACCATCACTTTTTGCTAGTCGGACCGCTCCGGTGAACAACCCCCTGCCACTAAATTACATCATAACAAAAAACGTTTATAAAACATCCATACCATAAAGTATAAGCTATGACAATATTATACGTACGACGACGATGAGATGGCATTTTTCGTAACAACGCTGGTAAATTTCCTTATCGAATTAAGAGCCATTTTATTTGCGTCGTCGAACGGACGATAGCTGTTGGCAAATGTGAAATAAATACACTGATTTTACTGAAATCTTTAATGAAAATGAAATTACAAAAACCAATAATTATGAAATCGAACAATTGATAATAGAAAACTGATAACAGATTTGGTTCGCTGATAACCTGATACCACGTTAACTTTAACCTGCTGATGACATTTTGCAGGTTATAATTATCACGCGCGCAGATTTTGAAAGTTTACTGTTTACAATCGCAGTATGGGTGATGCAACGAATGGCACGGACTCGTACTTTTTAAGTTACGAGGACCTGGAGGTAATCTTTCGTTTTTGGGTCAAACTGCAGTAATATGTCTCCGTTTTTCCCCGTTGAAATTTCAGGTGCACAAATTAATGATACAGGACTCGGCCAGAACCGAAGCTTACCGAAAAGCTATACTTTCCAATAGACAGGTGTTTGAAGGTAAAACCGTTTTGGACGTGGGAGCGGGAACCGGCCTATTGTCCATATTCTGCGCCCAGGCCGGCGCCTCTAAAGTCTATGCGGTCGAAGCAAGCAACACCTCTGAATTGGCCAGAAAAGTCATTGAAGAAAATCACTTTTCCGACATCATCGATGTGAGTTGTTGCTACAGTGAAATCCCTATACCACCACGATAACCGATTATTTGTTTACCACAGGTCGTCAACAGCAAAGTGGAAAATCTGACACTACCCTATCAAGTGAACGTTATCGTTTCTGAATGGATGGGTTTCTATTTACTACATGAGAGCATGCTGGACAGTGTTCTGTATGCTCGAGATACTTTCCTCAGACCAGACGGGTGTATGTTTCCTTCACATTGCGCTTTGTATGCATCACCTTGTTCTCTGCCGCAAATGTATTCAGATTTCGACGAAGTCAGTGGAGTAAAGCTGAGAAAGTTTGCCGAAGCTCTGCGCAAGTCGTACCTAAACCGGCCAAAAGTCATGACAATATCGTCTGAAAATATACTCGCTACATCAGCAAAACCAATTTTTATGTTGGATCTTCTTCAGTGCCAAGTGGACACTCTTAATGAAATTGTCGCCGAAAAATGTCTATCGGTAGTAGACAAAACGGGCATTTACCAAGGTGTATGTTTTTGGTTTGACGTTAAGTTCCCGACTGACGATTGCACCTTAAGTACTGCACCAACGTGTCCAGAAACACATTGGAAACAAACAATCATTGTGCTACCTGCACAAATGGACGTAGAAGAAGGAGACGCCGTAATGTTTAACGTAAAGTTGACACGTAATGACTCAAATAAAAGGTACTATAACATCAGTTTAGATATGTTGGACGCAGAACACGAAACACACCCGACTCCATGCAGTTGTAACTATACTAAATGTAAAATAATTAAAACTTTCTTATCTGTTACGGAAAATATATCTGACGATGATGATGAAGAAGATGATGAGGAAGACGAATGCATAATTGTCGAAGAAAAAACTCCAGAAGAAGAAACATAGAAGTTATACTAATATTAAGCAATGAAAGACTATTAATATTTAATATTTCATTATTTATGAACACTGTTTTGTAATTTTTTCATAAATTACCATTTTCTTACATATATATATATTATTAGTACCTAAAAGTAATTAAAAAAAAAAAAAAAAAATTGAAATTACAAAAATTTACATTATTAATTAGATTTAAATTTTATTTTATATATTTATCCATGAATTTTCTATGAAAATCTGAGCGAATGCAATCATTAATAAAAGTAGTACTCTTTTCGGGTTCGGACCGGGCACAATTTTTAAATACCACATCATCGTTCCAACGCCTTTTGACTTTTTGATTTGCCTTAGGAGCAACTGAACCGCCACCACCATAGGTTAATAAAGGGTTGCCTTGGAGGATGTTCTGTATTCGGATTTGCTCTTCGGCTTCACGTTTTTCCGCCTCCTATGAGGAAAAAAACAAGAAATAGTAAGGATTGTAATAAAAATATTAGCAATATACACTAACCATCCTCGAGTCTTCGGCCATTCGTTCTTTTTTTATCTTTTGTAACTCTAACATCAGCTCTTCAGCATCATCTTCACTGTCTTCATCGTCAGATGCATCTAAATCCAAAGGGTCGTCTACATCTAAAGTTGCTATGGGAACATGTTCCGGTCGAATCTTTTTCCTAGTTAAATTAAAAGACAATTTAGTGTGACAAGCTTAACATTTTGTAATATCTATTCAGTTACTTACGTAGGAGGTTCGCTTCCTATCGATTTAGGAGCAACACCTTTTTCTCTTTCATCCAAAAGTTTCGCAAAATCTTGTTTATGAAGTTCATCGGTAGTACCCTGACCAGGTTCTCTATACATCATAAAACATTATTAATATAATATTATTCTTATAAACACTTACTAAAATAGATTTACCTGTATTTAAGTTTAGTGTGCGATGGCAAATCTCTGCTAGAGTATTGTACGGACAAAGCGCTCAAATCATTTTCTCCACGTCCCGTACCTCCTCGCGCAGGTTCAAAAGTTGGTCGAGCGGCTGTTGTCATTTCTTAAACAAAAAAAAATACTTTTAAATTGATATTATCATCTATTATCTACAATAAAAATGTTTCATTTTTTCCCTACAAACATATAACATAAAATAGTATAGACATGTCGATGGAAACAATTATTTGGAAAAAAAATAATAGTTTATACCAGCTTAATTAAATTTATATCTAATCTTCTAGTTTCTAGGCGATTATTTTTTCAAAGTTTGTTTTTTTACAATGTATGTTTTCAGATGTTAGCGTAGGGGACCCTTATACTGAAATAACGCGCACAATCTCTTTATTATTTCGCCGACTGCTGCTGCCACTAAATAGCGAATAAAAGCAGCCGTCTCACACACGAGCTTGTTAACACGTTGACGGACATTCACTGCTATAGCAGTCATAATCTTTTAAGTTGTGATTCGTTGATGACTGCTATAAGTTATATTTTTGGAAGTCGTAAAATGGAATAACTGCTATTGCAGTGACTGTTGTTATGGCTTCACCGTGTCGGGAATTATGCAGTGTCCAATTGTGACTTAACAAAAGGTCGGGCAAATGTTTATCAAATTTTCTAGAAATAGTTTTTATTAATATTATTTTGTATGGCCTTGTGGATTAACAATCTTATTTGTTTAAAATTTTTACTCATTTGTTGTTAATTATAATTTATTTCATTGATTATGTGCCATGAAATAAATGAAAACCCATCATCATAGGTAATTTATTTATGTAACTGCTATAGCAGTCACACGACCATATAAAAAGAAAAAAAGTTTTCGATGGACTCGAACTACTATAGCAGTGATATATTTTCATGTTAACAATGTATTTAGATCACAATTTGTAACAGAAAAGCTCTAACATTTTTTGTCATAACTATAATAGTTATTGTGAGAGAGTGACACTCATATTACGGTCATGCACATAACTGATATAGCAGTCATGTCCGTCAATGTGTAAGTAGTTTTTCAGCTATCTCGGAAACTGTGTGACGAGAGACAAATCTGAAAATACCATCGTCAAAAAACACACCTTTAAAAAAAAATCGATTGGGAGCTAAACTAGATATTTTGTTCCAAATACTGAATAGGTACATATTTTTTTAATAATTATCGAATACTTACTTCAAAGAGTTATGCAAATATTCGGAAATTTTTTTTCCACTGAAACCGAAAGTAACTAACTGTATTCCGTTATGCTAATATTTAATATTTATTGTAGATTTAGTAATCACTTTACTCTTTAGTGACAGTCAAAACAATAAACACTATTCACCATTCACATTTCACGTCAACGACAGCATAGATAAGTATACTGAACGACAGCGGACAGTTCACAGTTGCAGCCAATGGTGAATCTTTTTGCCTAAATTCAATCACCTGCAGCCTGTCCAAAATCATAATCTCAATTGGTATTTAGTAAACAGTATCAATAACAATAGACGTTACAGTGCAGACAAAACAACGGCGAAATAATTCTTTATCAAATTTACTATGTAACCTCGATAATGAGTACCGTACAATAAATACAGTTGGCATTCCTATTTGACTTAATGCTTGGAAAATTGAATACGAAAATTAAAAACATAAGCCTAAAACATGTAATAATAATAATTACTTCATTGGAGTCATTTGGGCGGGAGGGGGCAGGCCGGGGGCACTTGATCCACCCTTGATTTTTATGGGCTGGTCAAATTTTCGGTACTTAAGCCGTTTTTTTTATGCAACTACGTACCTTTACTAATAATGAACCGTCTGAACTGACAATCAAGTATAATAGGTATGAAGGTTTATAAGATTTTTGTTACTACTGTTTTGTATCTAAGCGTTTTGGAAAAAATATTTATATTTGTAAATGAACATTGGGCCGATAAAAATGTTGCCCCACCCTAAGGAAAACTGAAATGTCGCCCCTAAATTACTTAACGGGATTTTAAAAAAAGTGGACTTATGATACGCTTATTCTAAAGCAAAAAATTGTTTAAAAGAAAGTTTACAAAGAAGAAAAGCACATTACTCAGTGTTATGTTTTGGTCGAATGACCCAAATTTTGTCTTAACTGAAACCATGTTTGTAGTCAAATAAGTTAGGTACTATTATTTTGACTTTAATATTAATTTTTAAGAAAAACATATTTTTAAATATAAAAAAATATAACACTTGTTTTTGATATTATAGAATTTAAATTTATTTATTTATTACTTGTGAAAAATATCATATGGTGGTTAAAAGTCTTGTGGCTAAAGAATACAAATGTAAAAATACAATACATATAAAGTTAATAAAGTTCATAAGGTTCGAGTACTTGTAAAATACATGTAACATTATCCATCCATATTCAATGTCATAGGCACAGCATTACAAAAGAAACATTTATATAGGTAGATTATACATATTATCTATGAACCTTGCATATTACCCTCTTTCTTCCGCAGTCAGGTAAAAAAAACCTCAGCTTGCCTTGTTCGTCTATCATGGTTTACCCCAAACTGACCCTATTCTGTGCCCAATTTAAAGTAACAATAAAAATAATCGTATTTTTGAATATCAATGTTGTAAAATATAGTGTAAAAATAATTTTGAATTTTTTGGTATTTGAAGTCTGAACTACTATATACATAACATTTTGATAGCACTCGGAAAAAACCTGTAAGATTTTCCGAACCTGAGCATAATATACTCATTTTCGCAAGTTTTTTACTAAGTTATTCCAATTCGGAGTGTTTTTTTAAAATAAAAATACACCACCACTGAACAGAGGATGTTTTAAATCCTGGATCAGCAGTCCTTGATCACACTAGTACTTAATTTTGAAAACAAAATATGTTTTACAATACAATTTTATACAAAATCAAATAATGCCGTAACTTGGGAAAGCCCAATCAGATTTGATTTAATTCTGTTTTTTAAAATCTCTTTTTCACAATAAGTAAAATTATCGGAATAATGAATATTCTGGTGATATTTGCCACAAAGCTAAAAATAAAACAAAACAACAAATGTTAGGTATGTGCTTTAATTTCAAAATATATAGGATATCATAATACAATAAATATATATATATTTTTTTAATAAATTATGTAATAATAATAAGTGTATTAATGTTATATAAGCCAATTCAGCAAATTATTTGGAAATTTTTTTTGGATTTGAAAAATTCATTCAAGCAATCAATACTTCATATTCAGACAAAGGCACTTCGGCTCCGCCATATGGTATGTAACATACGTTGTGGCTAGGTTGCACCTGTTGAAATACAAAGATATTATGTAAATATTATTTGTTAATAAATACTGTAGTTGTGAATAAGTAATCTTGGTGGCTAATTTGTATTATGCGTCCTTAAGATATATTTAAAAAAAATACACAATAAATTATGATTTTAATATTTATTTTTAATAACCATTTGATTAGGTATATTTTTATTACCTTTTTACAAACTAGAAATAATAAAAATTAAATTATAACAGTTTTTTTTAACATACTGTAATAATATAATGATCAGTGTAGGATTTTTTAAGAAAACAATTCAATGGAAAAAAAAAATACAAGTAATGTAACAAAAGAATAAAATGTTGAAATAACAAATAAATAAGATTAACAAAGTTCGAGTACTTGTGAAATACATGTAACATACAAAATAATAAAATATTGAACTAACAAATAAAATGAGAATAATATTTTTAGATAATGGTAATATATGCTTAAAATTGTTCATTAAGTCCGAGTACTTGTATATCTCCAAAACTTGAACATTTACTAAGCGTACCATTAGAAGAAGCTTGCACTGAATTGATTAAGCAAAAATCATCTGAATCTGTCGTTTGTAAGATATTATGTTGATCTTTGTTATTTACATCATTACTGTTTGAGTTTTTTATTGGTAGTTCACTCTCTTCCTTAACGACACGAGATATGGCGTCTCTCATTTCAGTCCTTAATTTTTTCTGAGCATCTGACGTCTTTAAATTTCTTAATTCCATAGCCACATACGAGCCAAACACATCATGATCGTCTGAAGGTTTTTCTATATATATTTTTAATAAATCCAAAATTAATTCGTTCAGTCCTTTTTCGTTTTGACCTCTTAAGTTTTCCAGTTGTGTCTAAAAACAAAAACCAAATAAATTTATATGACGTTTTTGAAGTCATTATATTAATAAATTATTAATTAGTCAAGTCAGTAATTATAAAGGTATATGCTGTGTAATGTTATTACAATTTTAAAATTAAAGGTTAAATATAATAAGTCAGTAATTACTTTTTTATGAAATACGAATAAATTAAATCGGGAAGTAAATTATTTTAATACCCTTATTAATTGCCAATTGACACACGATAAATTAGTTTTAAATAATAATAGTAAAATTTTAATGTATATTACAATAACAAGTTAATCGTTATTTATCCATACATTGGTGTTTAATAATAACTTATTTGTTGCCTAATTAATTTAAAATATTTTACTTACCTTTTACGCGTAATGTAAAATAATATAACAGTTATTACATTTTAATTTTGCCACAGTATAAATTTAATATAATACAAAATGCTTAACACTAGTCAAAAACCGAAAATGTAGGACCAAGATTATTTATTCCTAGTACCGTTAACGGTAATTACCTTTCCTACAGTCACAGTTCCGTCATGTTCTCCGCGACCAACAAACAATGGTTCACCTTCTTCTGTGTGTCCAGATGATAATGCTCCGACTGGAATTTCACCATTGTTGGCTTTCACCCAGGTACCATTGCAATTGCATAGTACCTAAAAAAGGTAATTAAAAAATAAAAAATAATTTTTTCATATAAATTATAGAATGTATTTTCTTACTTCATAGTTTTCTTTGGGATTTTCAACTCCGCCCCAAGCCACATATGTAACACCATGAGAAGGAACAAGTTTTCCAGGAATCAAGGCACCGTTATGCTCGGCTCTAGCTATGTAAAGTTGTTCCTTGTTCGTATCAAAACCACCAGGTAAAGCGTTCGGAGGTATTTGGCCATTACTAGCTCGTACCCATTGCACGGGTCCAATTGTTGATCCACCGATATTCCAGCCGGGCGTAGCCGCTGGTGGTGCTATAAAACATGATGCAATAGTCAGTTACCAATTGAACGTTTGTTAACAAACACTAAATAGTTTTTTTTTTTCAGAGTTTTTAATATCAACTAAAAAACAACATAACAAAACCTAACCTTGTGGTTTTAAGGGTTTGGATGTAACAGCTTTGCTTCTAAACTGTTCATCCGCTGTGCCATTAACACACCAAGTTCCTACCGCCCCCCAACAAGTGCGCACACCATAGTGAGAAATAATAAACGGCTTTGGATCTATCCATTCAAATAATTTAGTATAGTCCTGAAAAACTTCAATTACTCCGTCTTTCCAGAAGATAACAAATTTGCGTGGAGTGCTTTTAGACAGAAGTTGAGGAGTGTCGACACGTACCTTAAAACACATGATTAAACAAAATAAATATGAACTTTTGTTTTAGTGAGTTCTTTACAAAGCCAGTTAGTCCAAACCAAATTTTTTATTTAACTGTTAATACATTTTTTTAGTTGTGATTCAGGTGCATAATATGCAAAATTATGGTGAAGGTTATTAATGTTATTTTATTTTTGGCATAGTTAAAATATTTGATTTTTTAACATAACATATTACTAATAATTAGTTTTTATAATCACAATATGTAAGCAAAAAAAAAAAAAATAAAATGTCAAGTGTTAAAATATTTATTGTAAATAAAATGTTCATAATTTGTGTGCTTAAATATTGAACAATGTTAAATTTTAAAATAAATGTATCGTTATTCTCAGTTAAAAACCATTAATCAAATTGTCAGAAAATAGTTAAAACCTTATCTGATTTTTCTTTGTTGTAACGAATAGCAGAAGCGGTATTTTTCCATCCGCCTAGAAATACTTCAATAATGGGCTCGGAATCGTTGGATTTGGAAGTCAAAGCGATATGTGCATCACTTTCACACGATACCGAAAAACTTAATGATCCGTGCATAATTACTCTAAATATATAGTCCATACTGTTTTCAGTATTTATGTATATATTATCTGTTTAAATTAAAATGTACATACATTTTAACGTTTAAGTTTAAACAGTATAAATTGAATTATTCAATTGATGATTTTGTAATGAAACAATTATTATTGGTTTCAAAATACACAATAGAGTATGATCCCACTTTTTTTAGTACTAGCATACATAGAAATGAGGGAGGTGGGTACACACCCTATATTATACCTCATGAACAATATTTATTTTTAAATATTTGAATCACGTATAGTACAAATCAAGAACATACCTTCAATTGTCCAAATGCCGGAAGATCCCCATCCAGTACGTACTCCAAAATAAGCTACATTAATGGTTTCGTCATCTTGCCAGGACATGAAAGGCTTGGCTTCGCCTTGTTTCCCGATACCAATAAAGCCGCCTCCCCATTTTATCCAAAATCCTCTAGCTTCATTACCGTTGAGAACTTTTGGTGTATCGACGATGACTTTGTCCGGTTCTTCGTTGTTCTTACGAATTGACGATTTTGAATTACCCCATCCGCCAATGAAAATCTAAAAATATAATATGAAGAATATATCTATGTATAAAAATTACTGATTATAATAAATACCATTGACTATAATTTATAAATAACATAGATATCCCACTGGCATGTATTTTTTGCTGCGCGTAAATTTTTACCGTTGTAGAGCGCTTTATACTGTTTTTAGTTATGGTTGTAGATACCGTGAGCTCTGACCATCGACTTCTAAGCACAATACAGCCAGGAAGGACCGTAGTTTGCTGTGCGTCGATTGTCAGCGCTAATTGTATCTACTGCCATAACTAAAAACAGTATAAAGCATTCAACAACGGCAACAATTTACATGGAATAAAATAAAAATCCCAGTGGGCTGTCAACATTATTTATAATCAATATAAATATTTATAATATTAAGTACAATATGAAAATGCAGAACTGTCTCATACCTCATACTTTGGAGGCTTATTAGCATTAGTAGAAGTCAAAGCCACATGAGCGTCGTTGGAAGCTTGAACGCTAAAGTGTAATGTATTGAAATTGAGAGGGTTGAATTTGTATTCTTGGCTATCGGTTGTTGCAATTTCTGAAAATATAAAGCTTTATTTAATTAAAATAAAAATTAGTTTTAAGTACAACTTTAATTCTACTAAGTCATTTCCCTTTTTGGGTAAAACTAAATAAAATAGATAATTTGTATTTATTATAATACATTTTAAGCATATTATACTTAATATTACGCCCCATTACAATTACCTAAAAATCCTAGATACTTTATGTTTATTCCTAAAATAAATTAATAAAAACAAAAAAAATAGTATTTAAACATTAATACTATTGGAACTGTCAACCCTTCTGTCCCCTTCCTTGTGTAGATTACACTTTAATATACATTAAAAACGACATAGAATAAAATTTGGCAACATTACAAATTTTCCACATATTGTAAACTCAATCCTTAAAATAAATGTATGACATACGAGGAAATATTGTTTGTGCTCATGCAAAGACTTTGACCATAATATTAATAGTATTTTAGAAGTCTTCTATTAAATGATATTTAATCTTTCGACTTGTTATGGACAAAACATTTAAATGCCATCTATAATGCTGTTTAATGTTTGTTTTTCTAATCTAAAATAAATTTCATAAATAAATGAAAAAAGATTAAAATCGTTTATACTTCTTTGATTGTAACATTTCGAAAACATTATTTAATACAAAAGTAACAATGTTTGGGGATCCTAATATTAATAATTTCTAAAACTTGTTAGTTTAGGGAAGAAATATGATTAAAAATTCATATTTTTTTTTTACGTAAAAGCATATAAATATATGTTTAGGAAATCCCAAATTTTCTTTTTTTTCTTTTACAAACGAGTTGTTTTCATAAACTTAAATTAACTATCAGCTATTAGTTTCTAATTGTTACATAAGACCATGTATTATTTATTGAAATAATAATTATGTATAATACATATATATATTTAATGGGTTTTTTATTTTATAAATTATATTCAGCTATATTTAATTGGTGGGTGATTTTTTAATTGTTGAACTTTTCCCGAAAATCATTTTTTACTTAGTCGTAATTATCAAATTGTTACTTTGTTAATGTTCCGTCACGTCATATAATAAAAAATAATACGAACTCGGCAAATAACTACAAAATAATATGAAGCATACAAATGCAAAATATTTATGGAAAAACGTTACGCACTTACCTAAAGCCATATTGTCAATTATTGGGCAGCGGTGTTTAGATTATTTCTTTAGTCTGAGCTAAATGCTTATCACACCTGGGAACAACAATAGTTGATTAAGTATGCGTATAACAACAAAACCGATCAAATTGCAATTTATCGATTATAAGTACCGGCCGAACTCAACTCGAAATAGCAGTCTAATAATTGTTTACACTTTATTGTTTTACTATGGAACGACTAAAGCACAGCCCAAGCTAATGATCGTTCTGCGAAATGAATTGGTGGGAGTCTGATGTACGAGTGACCTTCAATTTATTTATGGTATGTAAGGATGAGTCAGCTGCTGCTGCTGGTAAGAACTATATAGGAATCTTATGAGAGTTTGGGTAATTTGTATTTTGTTGTTGGTATATTATTTCCGTGGTACCATTAAAACGTCGCCGGTCGCGGTTCCGTCAACCCGTGGAAGAAGGAAATAACATTTTATCAATGTCCACAATATGGCCAAAAAGTGCCGGCTAAATTTAAAAAACAATTGGCGTTAGGTTACTTTTATCGGGGGGACGTTATTCACTCACCCTGTGGTGGATTTAATTAAAACAAAAGCAAACAATAACGTGATTAAATCGGAAAATGGATACAATTTCAGAGGGAATGCATAGTCCGTTGAAAATATTTCTAAAAAAACGGTTATGATCATTAAAAAAAGTAAAAAAGCTATTTTTTCAGCAAAACCTACAGTATATTAAGAAATGATTAAAATAATGTCCAGGTTTGATGGTAATGCAGTACAAAAAATTGTCGTTTTATGGATGGTATATAAATAAATTGACAGAAACGATTCTCGTAAACAGGTAATTTTAATCATGATAATATTACGCATTTTCACTACCGTTTTGATTAACCTTATACAAACTATTGTATTTTAGAAATCGTTAATGAAAATATACGATTAACACAATAATTATAAAAAAAAAACAGTATTCTAAAAATCTTGAAATAATACATGTTAACCCAATACCACAGAATCTACAATATGTTAAGTGGAAATTGTGCCGCCACCAATTTTTAAATAAGAATGTAGTAATAAGTAAGCATGAGTAATTGCAATTTGAGATTAATCTCATTTTATCATTGTAATTAAACCATAATTTCAATGATTTAAATGAAAGACAGGTCTTTGCCACAATAATACATGTAAAACAAAAAAATTCCTTTCGACATAAGAAACTTCACACAAAAAATAAAACAATAAATAATATAGCTACCTAAAAGTTTTACAGTGTTTGTTGCTGTGTATTTTTTATGTCGTTTACAAATATTCTATAAATTATCTTTTAGTTTATAAAACAAAAAATGTATATATTTATAATTTTTTCTAAGTTAATAAAATAATAATTGCATTATAAGATTCTAATAGATACATAAAAATATTTGTATTTAGTCTTTGTAAAATTTTATAACATATAAAAATAAAATAACAAATATATTTATATAACATATAAATAACAAATTAAAAAAAAAATGTAAATATATATATTTATACTATACATATGTATATCTGGGTGATTCTTTTAAGGCCTTACACCAGTTTCCTCTTAAAGTAATTACCATTTTTTTTTCGGAAACACTTGTTTATGTTATAAATACAACATTACACAGTATTCAAATTTTTATTTTTTTTAGTATTTTCCAGACGATTATTAACTTTAAAAACTTCAATGGTAATCAACTTCAAAGTAAATTACATATACACGTTACCATTAAAGAAAATCAAATTTGAATACTGTTTAATATTGAAAAATAACATAGCATAAACAAAAATATGTTTAAAAAGTAAAGCTAAAAACATTGAAGTTATTTTAAGAGAAGAGTAGTGCGTTTAAAGAATCAACCAGTGAATGTATTACAATGTACAATTATAAATATCAGGTACAACATTATATAAAAAACTTATTTAAGATTAATTTATTTTTAATTACAGTCTTTTAATATATTTAATATTAGCTTAGAGTATTTTACTATAATCGTCGCTTGGGCAAAAATAATGTTCGTTGCCAAGATAGGATGAACTTTTCTTGGGAGATTTGATTGTAACGCCCTCTTTAGCGGAAAGTTGTAACTTTGATAGTTCATTGAAAAGTTCCATTTCAAATTCTTAAAATAATATAAACATAGAACAATTAAACAAATTATTTCAACTCTTTAAAGAAACTTTAAAAATTTCTATTTCAATTTAATGAATAGTATACCTTTTGGATCAAATAGAGCTGATGTTATTTCATAAGTATTTTCTTCCCAAACATCTTCCTTCAACTGCACGCATAAATGTCTGAAAAAATCAACACAGTTATTATTTAACAACAATTTTTTTTTTAATAATAATTTAGATGTACACCAAACAAGAGTTTAAACATAAAACCAATTAGAACAGCATTTTGTTTTAAATATTGTTCATATATAAATTTCAAAATTACAGTTTATACAGAAACTCGAAGGCTGAAAAATTGTTATCTCTTGCCAAGATCGTGTACATGGGTTTTTTAAAGCTAGTAATTTATCAAGTAAAAATCTGTATGTACTCACTCTGTAGACTGATCGTCATGAGAATCTGGATGGCTGTCGGATGAAAATGTAGACTCTTCATAACCTAAAAAAAATATGAATTAAGGTCTACAAAAAAAAATGTATATTAAAACAAATTTTGATAATGGTTTGATGGGTTTTACGAGTTTATATAGAATATTAGTTTGTATATACAATTACCAATCGACATTTAATATTAGGCAATCATTTTTTACATGCACAAATAAACTTGTTAAACTTCCATTAGCTTATTTTTTATGTATATTTTAACTCTTACGAATTTCCATGATATTATACCGCGAAAATACAATATAGTTTATTTATTAATCACGTTATTAATTGTAAAATCAAGTAACATCAGGGTTATTGTTTGTCAAAACTTACTCGATGATGATGATTCATAAAAATCAATGTCATTTGATCCCGTCAAATTGCTATCTATACAAACAGCACCCATTAAACGTTTTTCTGGATCTGTACTTTTGCGTAGATTTTCTAACAATTTATTATAAATTTCCTAAAACAAATTGTAATTGAATATAAAAATGCTTGTAATCTGAATATACACACATAAAATACAATTGTGTTTGTTAATAGTTGTTCATGATAATATAAATATAAAAAATAAACTTTTGAATTAGATAAATTTTATGAATTGCAAAAATACGGTTAACTCACATTGTTCATTAAAAACAAATTTTGTTCAAAATCCATAAACTTCATGTTTGGGTTTTTATCCCACGTAGGGCAATTTGATAATTTATTAGCATATAAATCAAACCACTCTAAATTAATCATATCCTCAAGAATGTTTGGAAATTCTGAAATCTAATAAATCAATTAACAATCATATAAAAATGTATACAGTTTTCTCCAATTATTTTAAAGTAAACATAATACCGATTTTTCATACTTGATTATTGTTTAGCACCAATTTTTTCAAATTCTTCAAGTTTTTAAAACATTCGGGTATAGTAAATATTTGATTCTTTGAAAAATCACACACCTCCAAATTGGTCATGTCGCCTAATGTAATTGGCAATGAAAGAATTTCATTGTTTGATAAATTTAAATTTGTCAAATTTGGCAAGATGAAGTATATCTCCTTTCTAATACTCGATAAAGTAACGTTACTCATACTTAATGAGGTAATAGACTTAAAACGATAGTTGAATATCGATGGTATATAATTTAAGTAATTATAATTATTCTTATTCAATGTTATGTTATCAAAAACCACATGTTTTAGTGTTTTTAAATGTTTAATAAATTCAAAATCCTGAGCTTGAGAATTTGTATTGGCAACGTTTAAATAACATAAGTGATTACTAATGCCGTACATGTTCATATAAGGATCTGATTCTACGTGTTGCAAACAGTTTGTGAATGATATATCCAACGACTCTAATGCGTTACAATCAATAGACCATAACCATTTTGGAAGACAACATAAACTAGAGTTGTTGTTTAGGTTAAGTGTTTTTAAATTGTGGACGCAAGCCGGTCTAAAACTTATACTTGACAGCATATTATGTGATATGTTAAGTACTTCTATGGTGGACATACCATTGATAATGCACTGAGGTAATTCTTGAAAAACATTGTGCGACAAATTAATTTCAAAAACATGTTGAAGTTTGGTTAATGACAAAGGGAGTGCTATCAAATTGTTGGTCGACAAATTTAGTTTAGAAAGTTTATCGAGATTACTTATAAATTCTGGTACTTCTTTGAGGTCACATGCGCTTAAGTCCAATTCAGTTAAATTACTTACACACGTATAAATTGTGTTCAACTTTGAAATAAATGGATATTTTGCTCTCTCGTTACATTCATTGTTGGCGCAGCAACAAACTGGAAAACATTCCATTTTTAATGTATTTATCTACTAAATAACTTTATATCGATAATTAAAAGTTAGAAGTTGAATAGATTTATAGAAATAACGACATGCTCCACAATTAATTTAATTGTGTTGACTTTACAATAATATTTAATTGTAAAACTGTTATCAGTTAACCGAATATTATTTGAAAAATGGCATGATTTATGATAAGGCCTCTTTGATAAGTATTATCTGTGGACTGTTATCAATTATTAGCACGGTTTAAGATAATATAATCTTAAATCGTGGTTATATTAGCAACAAAATAATATGTCAAATGCCGGTTACCGGTTTGCATAAATGAAATTATGCAAACTTCAATTGACTATGGTCATAAGATAAATGTATTCTTAAGTTTTTCCCTACAATATTCTTAAAAATAAAACCTTTCACGGTTCACCCCTCGTACATTCAATCTGAAATCTTGTTTAACTGTTAGAAATCGAAATTGAATAGTCTATTAAAATATTTGTTAGATGGTCAGTTTTGAATTAATACAATTATTAGCGATACACTGTAATTAATATTAATATATAAATTCTGCCAAAACACTTTGAATTAAATTAATAATTTGTAAAATGTACTCGACCCTAGTAATAATAATAAAAACTATTAAAAAGTATTAATAATACTTGTGAATCATCTTTAAAAAAACACTAGATTAAAATAATTTGCAAAATATAATTTTGCATGCCTGACGACAATAAAACCAGTTGATTACTGTTATTATGGCTGCTTATCGAAGAGTGACATGTCTGAAATAATTATATTATAAGTACTTATTGACAACTTAATACCAATTAAGTTGTCGTATACGTCATAAGGTATTTAATTAATTGAACTATTAAAAAAATGCAATGTGTAAAATCTCGTTAATAACATGCGGTTAATACTATAATAACTAATGCAGTTCATCATTCAATTATTAACACTAACAAGTAACATTTATTAAGCACTGATTATACCGTTATTACTAAATAGATTAAGTATGTAGAAATAGACTTTAAAAGAATATCTCCGTATCGACAATAATAATAATGTCTGCATACGGAGTAGACTACTCTGTCTACTGAGTAGAGAGTAGACACCTATCAAACATTTTAATAACTGCTAGCATGTGACTCAAACTCAATAGTAATTTCTTGATTTCCCTATTGCCAAATCTTAGTTTCAAGATTAAAAAAAAAAAACACTAAAAGTAAGTTTTGATGTTTATGAAATTTTTTTTTTATTTTCATTTTCTCGAAATACATAAGTGCTAAGTCAGAATATGTGTTACCGACTACCGAACAGCAATATAATGTAGGTAAAAAAGTTTTTAAAATTAACAAGGTGCAATATCTTACTTCTACTGTTTTTACAAATATTATAGGGCATTAAATTGTATCCATTGTTTGCAAAAATAACTGCAATTTATTTCGAAGTTTGAATAGGTATATATAAACAGTTTTATACGACGCCATTAACATACCTGCCACAAATTTACATTGAATACGAATGCACACACATATATATACACAAATGTGCAAACTATGTATGCACCATGAATGTATGTAGGTAACTAATTATAATGTAGGTATGAACTTATAGTACAGCTTATTCGGCTGTCCTTGAGACCAGTGTATCGTTTGTTTCGCCTGGGGGAACTCGAATAGGCAACTTAAATGATTATACTTATTGGCTTGTTGATCTTTGCTTAAAACATTTTATCTCAATACAAATTATCAACATAATTAAAACAGCTATATTATATAAATATATCTAGTGTCCATGTACCTGGTACACTTTGTGTTTTCGGGAAAACTCTAATTTTTGTGGTCTTATCCTTAATTTATACAATTTGCTTACAGCTCAATAAACTGTTAGCAAAAATCGTTCAACTTGCGGCAGTGACTATTGTGTATACATGTAAAAACGCCGCCGCTTAAGAAATTTAGCGACACATACACATCAAAATTCCTCCTAATTTCAATACAATAGTTCATTGCCTTTTAATACATAACATCACAGTACTTACGTTTAATCATATAGATTAAATAATTATGTATTGTCTGTTGTTGCTCAGCAGTCTAGACTCAAGTATAAACCCGGACGGGCTCTCCAACAATACAATCCGTTTGTTATCCGTTTCTCACTCCTCAGCACATTACAGTATTCGAGTTAGTGCTATTCAATAACCTCAGTATCGTTGAATACTTTATGACAATTACGAATTACCCTATCATTACCACAGACGATCCCGATAATGTCGAATATTACAAATTTCCGACATAATGTCAGTTGGAGAAAAAATCATCTAATAATTTTGATAATACAATTTTGGGGTTTCCACGACAGTTTTACCGTCGCTCTACGAAAACCCCTTTAATGTATTTTGTCATTCATAAAATAGCATAGGGGAGAATGGGGAGAAAGCAGTCAGTGGATAATACTAATACCGGTCAAAACTGATGGGGTAATAACAGGCTAACATAACTTATGCAATAACCTTGCCTAAGTAATATTTCCGTTAAACATACAATGTCTTGGAACAATATCATTGTACAATAGGTCCGTATTGATAACATGATAATAATTTGATCTTAATTTGTATGTTTTTTTGGGGTCGTTGAAAAATTTTTCCCTATAATTTTACATTTTTACATGTGTCTTTTGGTGATTGGTATTACCTCGCTATATTGGTAATGGCGGTCATTTGTACTTTTATTAAAAAAAAAAAAATATATTTAACTTAATTTTAAAAAAACTGAAACTTTTATACATAATACCTAACAAGTTTATAGCTCGAATTCAATAAAGAACGGAATTTCTGGACTTTTAGTTCCAAAGATATTTCAATTCCCTCTTAAGTGGCCGCAATTCCCCCACCTTCCCCTTTATAGAGAGTAACAATAATACTAAAAATAATGATAATCATACAAGTTGTTTCGAGACCGACAAACCCCCTTTACATTATAATAATGTATTCTATTTCGTATTGACACTTTACAGGGTTGATATTCCTATATATTTTGTAGTATCAGCGCTATGGGGTATATTGCTATTTTATTACCCGACTGCTGAAGGAGGAGGTTAATGCACGTATTTTTTAATGTTCCCACTACTACTTATTTGATATTGTTGAAATACAAACTAAAATAATAAGTGAATTCCCAGTAGTAGTTTTGCGTATGTTTAATTATCACAGAATTAAGTATACTTTAATACTTACATAAATCCAAACTGCCTAAAATTACTGGAATGAACTGGCAACGACGTCAAGCGTCGTAATTGCCAATTCCAGTGTGCTAAGCGTGAATGGTTTAAAGTTTTTCTTTTTGTCTGCTATTACCGAATTTACCCTAGATAAACCGTCAACTAATTTTTTTTTAAATAGAAACTAAAATACCGTATTATTGTACTTATTTTGAAACTTTACAAAAAAGTGTTAAAATTAAAAAAAAAAGCCAACCGTAAAAAAAAAATTTGCTCAAAACATCTTTTTTGCTTTGTAATAAGGTATTGGGGAATTGTAGCAAAATCGAATGTCGCAATAGTCGGGGGCCCTAAAATTGTTCTTATTTTCTGTTAGAAACATATTAAAAAGTAAGGAAGAGATCAATTTTCTTAATTAGAACAAGGAATAAATAACGCAACCGTCTATTGCAACATTGATTTTGACTTACCAAAGAAAATGTTGGAGGCGAAAAAGGTTTTGACAATACTTTTATGTATTTAACAACGGCGGCGGCACTTTACCGCGCATTGCGGCCGTGTCGTAGGGAAGCCACGTGCGTTCACGTCCCCACTACGGCGCGTCGTTTGGCGGTGAAATAATGGCTAGACGTACAACCGGCACGATTACAATAATGATAATAATAATATTATAATGCAAAAAGTACACTTACACACACACACACAGGCACGCTGTATATTGCACGGGTATAGTGTGTATATTTTAATGTGCGTGTGCATATAATACTGGTACGTACACAACATAAACCGAGTTCCCCCACTCGACCGAGCCGTCGAGGAGTAGGTTTGCAGCCTTCCAGTTGTATGCATCGGTGACCGTGTGCCCGCACAGTGAGCATCCAACTAGTTTCTCGCCTATCAGTTCACGACCGGCGTCTATTGAGCGTAGCAACGCGTTTTATTGAACAATTTTTATTGAAAACCGACAATCGGCTAGTAAAATCGTTTTATTTTTCTACTCAAAATTCCAACAACGACAATGACCGTCGACTGGGGATACGAAGAGTCAAACGGTAGGTAGACTTAAAAATATTTACCCGAATACTTAAAAAACGAAAATGTCACCTTTAGGCTATCGCCGCTCTAGTTTTTGGCGCTTTTGTGCCGATCACCGCGAATTCTTGCACTTGTTCAAATATAAAACCAATCTTGCGCAGACCCTAGAGTACAGACAAAAGTATTATTATTATTATTATCACTTACCCGATAACCGGTTGTTGATCATCTGGCAAGGGTTACAAAATACTTTGCGAATGCAAAATACTCTTGAAATACCTATCTGATCATCTGATTCATTCGATCGGATACTTAAGGCGACTCCTTTTCGAGAGAAAGTCTTACATCAACAAAAAAATTGTCCGTAAATCCCAACCGATGGGTTTATAAATACTTTGACTACACTCGATCTCATCGCTTTTCCATAATACGATAATTTTTTCTCTTAAGTTTCGATGACGGGATGGCCGTTAGGATGCACGTGCTTAACTTACCGGAAGCAATTTAATTTCGACACGACCAGTTCAAAGCGCACTACTATGTATAATATTAATATTTTATATAGATCAATGGGTCATAGGTGTGTTAATGATCTCCCAGATTATGTTGTTGCATACATATATATATATAACTTACCGTATGCGTAAAAAATAATAATACTCTTCTATGTTTAATGTGTATATAAAGTCGGCGATTATATGGGACTAACGTGTGTTTACTTTGTGGACTACTGATTAGTATAATAATATATTTTAGTATAGTATAATATTACTGATTAGTATAATAGTACAATAGTAAAGCTATTTTTTAAGCTGAAAGAATAAGGAAATTCTTCTGCTTGCCGATACCAAGGAAATGTCAAGTAGATTTTTGTTTTTGAATTCGTTAAACATGTTTAAATACTTACAATATATTAAATCACACGTGCCACAATACTAAGTTGTAGGTATACCGGTTTTGGTTAAACATAGGTAACTCTGTTTAGTAATTCAAAACTCGTTTAAACGATTCGACCGACTAATTTTCTATACTTAATTTAATTATTGTTTTTTTTCTTTCGGGTTTCTCCACTTTTGAAAACATCACCTACAATGCGATGACAATTTCAGGCGTTCGTTTGAGAGGTCTAAGTTTGGAAAAAAATTGAAATATTATGTTTTACTTAATACCTACTTTACAGGGAAAAATATCCTATGAAAATGTTTTATTTTTTCAAGCGGTGTAACTTGCAAAATTAATGGTTTCCTTGACGGAGAATTAACTTTAATTGTGTTTTCAAATCGCAAAAAGAAATTAATTAATTATCAATAATAACTTTTACGCGAATGTACACAAAAGACGAAAGAGTAAAATATTTTTGGACATTTCATGACAATATTTGACAACCCTATTAAAACGTTATCGATGTCATCGAAAAGTAGGTATGTTTAGTCCTTTAGTACACTTTTGTCGGTGATCATTATATCGTGACTAGTAAAATAGTTATTGACAAAGGTCATTTAAAATTTAAAGGTATGTTAAATAATATAGAGGTAGTATACACGCTAATTCATTAGGTTGATCGCGATAAGGATGAATACGTATTTTTTTTTAAACATTGCGCCACCTTTTTTTCTCTATTTGTTAAAGTAATTACTTTTTTTTTCTATTATGTGTGGTGTCGTTTAAGTAACATTGTGTGTGTGTGTGTGTCATAATAAAATAACTATGCAAAAAAAAAAAAAAAATGAATAACCATTACGACCAGCGGTAAACGCCACCGACATGTGTAGTATAATATTAAAAAAATTCGCAATATTATTCTTATCTTTGTTTGATTAACGACGTTAATTTAACGTTATTCCATATTTGCTTTGTCGTCGTTGTATCAACTCATTACAATTATTAACCGACAAACACGAACGAAATAATATAATTAAAAAAAAAAAAACATGTAAAATGATTAACATCTCCTTCGTCTGGTTGTTGACAGTGTTTCGAAAGGCATCGAAGTCTCGACCTATTTCGTTTTGGTCCCATTGAACATTTGAAACTTCACTAGTCTCACGTAGGTTATTTCAATATTATTAATTTTACCGTTGGATTTTGAAAATTCTTGACACTGTGACGCACTTGGTCAGTTTTTCATTTTCATTTTTATTTTTTTCCACTTGACAACTAAACACTTAACAATGCGTCGTTTCCCAATCATCGACGGTGGTAAACATCACATCAATGTTGTAAACACAAGATCCGTTACTAATGGCTGGCTAAATTGCTGTATATCCGTAATTTGCGTACCCGTGTTCTTACAGCTCAAGATGACGGTTTGAAGAAGAAGGAAAACTTGTATTGCGCAGCAAATAACAACTGAGGTGTGTTCTTACCCAACCCAATATTTCATTTTATCCTCGTTTGCCATCATTTCTTGGCGGATGCTATACATTTTAGACGACGGTTTGTTTTAGATACCGTATCGCATAACGTATCAGGAATCTACAACATTTGCCCAGTCAGTTTATGTAACATTTTCAGTATCGGCTTTAGACCGGTCTACACCCCGGTGGTGAAATGTAAAAGGGGCCTCCAAAAAAATTGTAGGAAAATTAAATCAACTTTCAAAAATATTTGAATATTTTAATATATATTCAGAATATGCTGAGATGCAAACTACGGTTAAACTTAAAGTTAAAAAAAAAATTTAAATACTATTTTTTTTAAGGCATTCTTATACACACGGTTGCCTACTCGAACGAGTTCAATAGGTACCGCTTTAAACGGTGTTCTTTTTTTAGACCTCTGCAATATTATACGCTTTGGTCTGGCTGAACCTACCTACTGTTTCTATTGATGTTGATAAAGTGCGGGTTGTGGTCAAGAAATAAAAAAACATACTACTTATCGATATCGTATACGATGAATATATATATTTTTTTTGCCAATGGTTTACACTGCAGTTGCAGAAAATGAAATATTATCTCTTGAGGTTTTGGGCGTGTGTGTGCGCCGAGTTCACTGTTCTGTTGTAGTTACAATCGTATTGGCAGCTTTGTGATCGAGGGTTTTGTATTCAAACAACGCTACGAAGACTACGACGGCGACTGTTATAATTATTATTTATTACGGTGGCAGTCGCATCAATTATTCTGCGACGAGAAAGCGGTTAATAGGAATCTAATATTGTTGCCGATGCGGCGGACCATTGGGTAATCATCAACCCGTAACGAATATGACCTTGTCGGCATAGTGTAACGTTAGCTGAAGTGCGGAAAAACGTTTTAGTTTTTAATTGTATTTTTATTAAACTAATTGAGTGCATCGCGGATGCATTTTTGCAGCGGCATTTCCGTTTAAACAAAAAAAAAATCGTGTAACATTATGCCGTTGTCAACTCCACGCAGACGACTTAGCATTTTGCACTATATTATATTATATAGAAAACTATTTATAATAGTGTTTTAGACAGAGAATACCCGGTCGAGTGTATTGACAGTTGAGGTCACTTCCTAGTCGTTTCTTTGGGGTAGGTTATAGCCACAGGTTCAACGACCATTATCCGGTCTCGATATCGTTTGGTCCGACGCAATTACAAAACCTCTTAACCCACTGGTACTCAATTAGCTGTGGGTAGAACGAAAATGATTTCTCGAATACCACTCTTTGGGCCATTCCTAATTGTCGTACTCACTTGTTTGACCACAATAATAATAATAATATAGTCATTATACAGCTGTTAAAATCAACTGTCTGTGGCCGGAAGACAGCACCTAATCTAAGACCGACAGTAAGCGCCTATATTTATGTAGAAATACAATATTTTAAAAATAATTACTGTTTGATCAAGGCTATATCATAAACCTATTAACTCATGGACGGCTTGTAAAAAGAGAAGACAATGAGAATAAGCGTCAAATAAGAGGGAGGGATAATGATAGACTCTATTACAGGGTCCGTTGAAACAATATTTTATAGGAATCACTATACAACATTTTCATAACATTCAATTAAAGATTACAAACACCATAATCCAGTAAAAGTACAGATTTTTAATGAGTTAATTGTTACATTTTGATTTTTAAAAATTGCTATCTAATAACATAGGTTTTAAAAAATTAAAAACATATTTCTTTTTTTTTCACGATTCCCCGAATCACCTCCTTTATTCCATCATAGCATAATAACAAGTGATAAAGATATATCTAGATGGAGCGATGTGAAAAGCGCACTACATGAATTATTAGGTCTGTTAGCCTAGCCGCTTTAGGTAGGTTGTGGTTGACTGCTACGTTCTATAGCGGAGTACACATTCGAGCACAGCATTGAACGAGTTTGTAATTGAATCCCCAAGGGGAATGCGTATAGATACATCGATTTACATACCCGAGTATGGTTCGGTAATAATGCCAACACTTAAAAATAAACACTAGAAAATACAAATGAAATTGATTTGGATATAAAAAAAAAAAATACCAAAGAATAACATAAATCTCTGCATAAGTGCTTATGGTTCGTTTTTAAAACCGAATAATAAATCATTTTGGTCTGATACATTTTTGTTTTACCAAACGAAAATAATCATAACCGTACATAGCTAAATTTGTTATCTACTGTAGCAACTCGTAGGTGTTCATAATAGGTGTTCATAATATATTATTGTTATTGTTTTGGTGATTTCAGTCGTACTAAACGTGGTAGACGATACGGGCAAAAAACCTCTAACGAACCATGCCCAACGATAGTTTCGCGTTATCGGTCTATAATGACTACTGTTTGAGCAAAACTTCGAGCTGATAACGTTTGTGTAACACGAGAACGGATATTGTAATCGGCGAAACCGCAGCGTACGCGTTTTCAGGGCGTTCCAGCCTATGAAAGATATAGCTAAATTCAAGTCTAGAGTCACGAATTGCTCAGGAAATTGTGTATTCGTTAAAAACATTAACATAATATGCATCTAGCATACACTTCTTCTTCGACTTTACTATACAAATGGGGTCGGACAGCCAAATCCCCTCTCGCTTGACAAATTTTTCATCAT